TCAATCGAACATTACTTTCATTCATAAATTTTACTTTTGATAAATTCCGAACGTTTTGCTGTTGAGGGGGCCTTCGCGGGGTGCGGGCGGCAGTCGGCCGCTGGCCTTCAGACGGGGAGGTTGTGTCACTCGCTGCAAACTGACATTAGCGATCAAAATGAATTTTTTCTTTGGCTGAGTTGCACCACCTGACGTGACCTAACTTTGACCGTAGCTTTGGCGATAACCGGTGTTTTTTTGTATGTAGTTTGACAGATTTTTGACTTTTGTCAAATTTAAAATAAGATGGTGCAACCTAGTCTTTGTTTGACAATAGTTTTTATATCAGAGTTGTTCATAGAGCACGTTCAGTCAGACGATACGATTGAATTAAGGCATGCTCGGACGCTATTATCTACCTAAATAGAATCTATTAGTGTAAAAAATCGACTCCAAAAAAAAAACGGCACTAGATAAGTAAAAGTTGAGAATATATTCCGTTATTTATTTACTAGGCCTTTGCAATCAGTATCCAAATTAGGAGCGAGTCAGAATCAGTAACTTAATCGATTTACGTGAAGAAAACAATTTATATCTTTCATACTTAGGCTCGGTGCAAATGGGCCATTTAGAATTAGATTTAACCACAATTCAAATTCAAATTTATTCAAACAAATAATTACAAAGTATAACTTTTAGACGTCACGCGGAATTTCATCGCATCATAACTTCGTAATTAGGTAGGTACTTGTTTGTTGACAAATAAAAATATCCCGTGTCCAATATTTTTTGATAGTGTAATTGACGGACTAAAAGTGTTTTTTTTAAGAAACTAGCCTATTCCTACGGCCACATTCCAGCTCCATCATCAGACCCTGTTTGCCTTTGCGAATTGAAGTAGGTAGGTACTCGTGATTTTTAAAGTAGCTTACTTACATAATATTACTTACTTATATTTATATAAATAAATAAATACAAATCAAACGAGCCTAAACTCGATGGAATTGTTTAATCCCGGAGTTGCTATGGGGCCACTGGCATTCCAGCTCTATCATCAGATCGACTCCATGTCATCACAATATTGCATTGTCATCCGAATTACATGTATATCTAAAATTTTAACTCAATTAGTTGTTGAAGGATTTCTAATAAAAAGACGAGATTAAACACATATTCAGTTTATTCTTCATAAGTGACACAAAGAGAATGACAAAAGACAAAAGAAGAAATATTTGCTTTTTTAAACCATAGACAATACTACTATGTGTTCCAATACCTACAGTTGTCGTCAGGAAGTTGGTCAAACAAATTCAGCTTGCAAGATTCCACCCGAAGTTACCTACATATTACATGTTCAAATTTCGAGAACGGCTGAACCGACAAAGACATTAGAAAATTTACGAAAAAAAAAATATCCCGTACAAAATTTTCATGGATTGTGTTATTTTTATTAAATACCTTTACGCCTGAGTTAGTGACACCGACATCAAGGTTCATCAATTCAAGTTTAAAATAGGCAGTAATGTCATGAAAAAAGAGCTTCTATTCTGTATCTACCTATGCCCGTGTAATTTTGATCGGTGTCAAATCGGAGTTTTCGTGCGGGGTGCGCGGGTGTTTCGCGCGGCGTGAAGGTCAAACGCCCAAGGTCATTGAGGACTCTAATCGCCTTAAACCTCGCAACCGATTTTGATGAAATTTGGCATAGAGATAGTTTGAGTCCCGGGAAAGAACATAGGATAGTTTTTATCCCGGTTTTTGAAACAGGGACGCGCGCGATAAAGTTTTTCTGTGACAGACAAAATTCCACGCGGGCGAAGCCGCGGGCGGAAAGCTAGTGGTACTATAAATTATTGGCGATGCTAACGAAAATCTAGTAAACTCTTACTAGTAAATATATCATATCATCATAAACTTCTAATCTATAATTCTTAATATTCCTAAGTATTTATAATGTTCATGTCACTCTACAACTACATCGCCTGGTTACAAAATCTCTAGCTTCATGTGTTGTCATCTGTATACATCCAAGTGGGACATCAAAAGTTCATGTGCATTAGCATTTGTACTTTCGTAATAGATTTGTTCTCAACTTGAAGCGAGAACAGCTGCGTACTGAAGTTGCGATTAAATTCATGCAGCGCCTTGTATACAGATTTCAAAACATAACTAAGAACACTATGTATAAACTTGCATGCAAATATTAGCAAACGAGAACACAGCTGTGTGCAGACAAATTGAATCGCATCTTGTTGTACAGTCAGCGTCAATTATTCGTGACACCCAAAGTAGCCAAAAAGTTCGCAACACGTCCTTGTTACTGTTGGAATAAGGTTGTATTGTGTATCAACTTTTTGGCCACTTTTCATGAAGTATATTATGACGGTGACTGTACAAGGAGCAAACCTAGCAATTTTTTTTTAATTCTTTCAAGACTATTATCTCTATTATTTGTGTTATCTAGCATCTTTATTATATCCTAACACACAGCTTTCATAGGTGAAATGATTGATTATAATTTATTAACCTTCTGTATACATAGAGTAATGTAGTTGGGTTATTCTTACAGTGTTTACTGACCTTTATTAAAAAATGTTTACTGACCTTTATTAAAAGTACTTCTTCTAGCCATCTGACCAAACTTGTAATAAAAATGTACCTTGCTACCAAAAGCGTTTCACAAAAATGTTGGCCACTTTTCTTAACAATGGAATTTAAGGAAGGCTTCTTGTACACTTGCATGAACGAGGTACGGTGAACGTACGTTATTTCCACACGATTTGACAATCATAATTGAGGTGTTTCAAAGCAGCGTGTCGCAGCTTGAGACGAGAACTGTCAAATCGACTGAAAACATGACGTCATGCTCACAACACAGACCCCGGTAACAAGCTCGAAGGGGCCAGATGAAACGAAATGGTGACATTTACCACCGGGGTGTTAAACGCCACCTATCCGGTGGCAAGCTCGAAGGGGGTAGATGAAATAAAGGGTTACGTACGAGTATGTAACAGAGCCTTAAGTTAATAAAAGGCATCAAGCAATACCTAAATCTCTTGAGAATTCTATTACGCGTATAAGCAAGGGAGATTTACCCTAGGCGAAGGGGATCCTATAAGCCACCCATCAGTAGATGTGAAGTATCACACCCTGTATTGTAACATATTCAGCTGCAGGATTTACGAACATAAAAGTCAAGTCTAATACTGATAGAGTACGTAGTTGCAGTATTTTACACCGAAAGCTAAAGATCTAGTTAGATGAAACATAAAACTGGAAAATAAACAATGTTGCTTTTATGATTAATTTTCGTTTTACGTTATTAAAATCGAAGTGTATAAATGCAAAAAAATAAATAAGTAAGACTATAAGTTAACTGAAAAAACCGGCCTAGTGTGAGTCGGACTCGCGCACCAAGGGTTCCGTATAAACCTGTAGATATACATATAACTTTGATTTTGTTGAGTATTTGATATGAATTTCAATGAAATACCTCTTTACTGGCCAGGTGCGACATAGGTACCTAATATTATATTATACATTTCTCGAGAGATCCATTGAAGTTGCCTTAGCCTTAGCACTAAAGTATGGTATGATATGAAAACACAATAAAATGATTGGGCAACCATCTTTATTGCAATAGCTTATGTCGTTCATCGCAGTCGTCCGACGAATACGTCGAGGAAGTGCCTGTGGTCGTCCTGACGTCATACTCCACTTGGGTGAGGCTCACTTGGCTCCCAACATCTGCTCGCCTGTACCGTTTCTTCCTTTTCACTTTCTTTCCCATTCTCTCACAAACATTCACTATACTCTCCCTCAGCTCTATTGGAATGTCTCTCACTATCACCTCTCGCAGCAGAGTATTCCTGACTTCGCTGTTCACTCTGGGATCGTTATGATTTTGATTATTATTTGAAGTCTTAAATTTTCCCTTACAGCTCTCCAGAAACTCCTTAAAACCCCCCTCTGTGATTTTCTTGTGCACCCATACAGATGTTTGAACGCAGCATACAAACGACAGTAACAACGCACACACGCCCACAATACACGTCACTATGGATAGCAGAGCCGATTTACAGCATTTACTATAGTCGGTCATATCGCTCCTCAGAATAGGACACAACTTCCCGTACATTATATCTCTCAGTAACTTGAGATTTTGAGATATCGTTGAACAGTTTGATCTCACTTCGACTTTGACTTCATCTGGCTTGGGTGATGGTGTCACCACTCCCATTCCAGTGCTGATTGCGTAAATATCACCGACTGTCAGCGGGTGTTCCAAGTCTCGACAACTATTTATGCTCGGTACATACACCACGTCGGGAAGTTCATTATCTGGACTGGACTCGCAAATCGACGCTTCAACACACTTCCCGACGTAACCATCAAAGAACGGCCTCTGTCCTGAATATTTTAAGTTACAGTCCACCGGTTCACAATCATTCAAGGAATCCTGGTCCAAAGTATCGCAGACTGTTTTGCTCCTGTCTCCAATGTAATGTTCCAGTAAATTATTACGCTTACCTCTTTCTGTATTTATTCGCGTATCAAAAACTATATCCACTTTCTGTCTCTTCGCCCTCCTATTTCTCCCGCACTGATAGTCTAGCACAAAATTACAGTATCCGACTTGGTCATGCTGATGTATAACAGGGTACACGAAAATTAGAGTCTCCCGGTCTTTGGGTCTTATAAAATTATAGCCACCAAACACGGACATGGTATTGCAGTCTTCTTCGGGGTCAGTCAAGCAGCAATCCTTGGCCAAAGAGTGCACACTACAGCCAGATAATCGATCCTGATTTTCAATATCAATGTAGAACTGAAGCCCGACAGAATTCTTGTGCAATGAGACCAGACCTTTATCAAGAATGCTAATTGAAGCAATTGCCTCAAACACCGCGATCAAGATGAAAATTATAATAAATAGATAAACATTTCTTAGAAAACATTGCATTGCATTTAGCAGGATTGACAGCAGTGACTTCTTTGACAGATTTTCATAGATAAATAAGTTTACAGATTACATACATAGATTTCACTTTCCGCTGGATAGTTTAGATTAAAATATAAAAAATAGTTTATTTTAAATACTCCGGAATATTTATTATCGATACACAAAGTGTTACTAAACGGTTTTCAATTAAATTGAACTAGTTATGTAGAAGAAATGCATGAGAATAAACACTAAAACAGTGCATTAAGAGCTAATTTACGACCTACTGACTGTTATTTCAAAACGTATTACCTATTTCAATTATAATTTGTTCTAGATTATCTTAACTGGTATTAATTGCATTTATGTAAGAACTTGTTAGATTTCTTCAATATTTGTTATAACTCGTCCTTTATGTGACTATTTTCATATGTTTCTTTTATAAAGTCTGCTGCCCTTTCTGCAATCATCATTACTGCAGCATTAGTATTAACACTTGGTATGGTCGGCATTGCACTGGCATCTGCCACTCTTAGTCGTTGCACTCCGTACACGTTCAGCTTATAATCTAAAACCGACGAATCATCCATAGATCGCCCCATTTTAGCTGTTCCTACAGGATGATAAACATTGTACGTAACAGTTCTTGCCATGCATTCCCAATATTCATCACTAGCAAATTCAGTTTCATCACAATCCTTATGACTTATCCTTCGCAACTCGGCCTTAACATTTTTAAAAGTCGGGGTGTTAATTATCTCAGTAAGTTTTTGTATGCCTTTGACGAAAGTTTCCATGTCCCGCTTGTCACTAAAGTACTTCGGATATATCTTAGGTAAATCTGAGCTGTTTTTGGTACGCAACAATATTTTACCCTTGGAATGTGGCCTACACAGTGATATAAAGAATATAATCAATTCTTTATTTTCGTTAAAACTCTCAAATTGCTTACAAATGTTGTCTTGGAAAGACATTATATCCGAGCACATTGAGTAAACGTATGAAGTGTTTGGTACGAAATAATTATGATCTACCTGTACATCAGGCAATGTAGCATTTTCAGAAAGTGCTAAGAAAGCGTTTACGTTTGGTTGATCGTAATTTGTAGCATGCGGTCCAGTTTGATCTAGCAAATATTGAGCGGCTGCTCTTAGCCAGTATATTTCGTCTTTTGATTTAGCACCTGTGTCAATTGTTACAGGAATCGGTATTCTGACGTGATCCTGCAGATTTCTACCAACAGGTAGAGACGCTTTAGTACTTATACCAAACTTACTTAAATGCTTTCTAGGTCCCACGCCAGATACCATCAGTAGCACTGGCGTGTTTATTGCTCCAGCACATAAAATTACTTCTTTATTAGCGTTAAATGTAACTCCGATGCCCGGTTTTATGACAGCTTTAACACCTCGAGCAAAGAATTCGTCGTCAATAATGACTTCAGTAACGAAAGATTTTTTTAACACGAACAAATTCTTTCGGTCTTTAGCTTGGTTGAGAAAAGCGGTGGCCGTGCTAACTCTTTTGCCTTTATGGTTGCCTCCTCTTATTTTGCCTACGCCCAGTTGGCTAGGGCCGTTTATGTCATCCAAGTACTTTAGTCCAAGTTCTTCATAAGCTTGCGTTAGTTTGTCAACTATTTCAGGGTGTGTGAAATTCAGTTGATCAATAACAAATTCGCCATCCGTTCCATAATTTTCTTTGAGTTCAGGGTCACTTAGGATGAATGGATCAACTATTTTTTCAGACTTTTTGAAGTATTCCTTAATAGTCGGCCAGTCCCACTCTCCGTCAAAGTTCCAAGATTTGTAATCTCCAGCACTGCCTCTCATGTGCAGCAGCCCATTGATCGATCCAGTGCCTCCGAGGACTCTGCCGCGAGGCCAAAAAGACCTTCCGTCTCTGCTCGCTCTGTTGGTAGTATTATCTATTTCTGTGTAATATTGCCACGCGTGTATGCTTCTGTGAGTAGCTCCAGAAAAATTCGGAATCTGAAATTAACAAGCATAACTATGTATTTTAATATGGCAAAGTATGGCGGTCGAAATGGCATTCATATTTTGAAAGATACTCATAATTTATAAAACATAACCTTTTTCTGGCGTAGTCGGTTTAAAAGGAGGTGCCTTTGAATTTATGGCGTTTTAAACTTACAATGGACTCTATAGGCGGATCGTCGCCAGCTTCCAAGAGCAGCACTTTCCAGTCTTCGACCTCCGTCAGCCTGGATGCCAGGAGAGACCCCGCCGTGCCTGCGCCGACGATGATGAAGTCGAAAGAGTCTCCATCTAGAGTTGGACACGAAAATTATGAATTTAATCTATTAATATCATAATCTAACTTTAACGGTGACCGATAACCCGTGCTTTTTGTATAGAGTTTGACAGAATTTTGACGTTTGTTAAAGTTAATGTAAGGTGGTACAACCCAGCCTTAGATCTATTTGTCGAAGTCAATCCGAACACAAGTCACAAAAAGATAGATAGAAGAATCTGAAGTACAAATTCAAGTCGATTTACTGAACCACTGTGACTTTGATAAATATTTAAAGAAAAAAGATTATACTCTCAAGAAAGACCTCTTGCTGAAAGCAGTTGTGTCATCAAGAGGAAAAACTTAGGTACCTTTCTAGCGTAAACCAATGGCTCTTCTAGCATCACTACCTGAAACCTCATCAGTGCGGTCCTGGGGCCAGTCTTCGGAGATAAGGCACTGAGCAGCGAGCAGGTGCGTGATGAGGTTCGCGAACGCTGCGCCGGCGGCGCCTTGAGCGTACGCCGGGCATGGGCTCGTCAGACATGACATTGCTCCTGAAATATCGCCATTCAAACGTTAAAAATTGCTAGAATATTCATCATTTCAGCCACAGGACGTCCACTGCTGAACATAGGCCTCCCCCTATGATTGCGCGGCCTGCATCCATTGCACCTTTATGAGATCGGTCCACCTTGTGGGTGAACGTCCCACACTGCGTTTTCCGGTAATCAAGGCTCTAGAAAGAGAGTTAAACGGGCGTTGAACACTTGTTTAAATTGTCATTTAGAGTGGAAATCACTTTTTATGCAAATTTTTAACGTACGTTTAAGTTTTTAGTGATAACTCTGAGTGTTTCTTAGTTATTGAAAACCAAACTTTAAGAATATTATGTAGAGACACCTGTTTCTTTACCTAAGATTATACAGTTAAATCACAACATCGTGATTATGAGATTACCTATTTATAAAATAAAATAGCCAAACACAACCTTACCTGGATCACCTGGATGAGATGTCCCTCGTTATATTCCACTATTTCAATATTTAAGTAGCAAAAGATTCAGTTTTAAACACAAGCACGGCACCAGATAGCACCGCGCGAACTAGATAAGACGTAGGACGATACAAATTACTTTGATTGATATATTTACTTAATTACTTCACGATATAATAGGCTATCAGTACCTATAGCGAAGTGAATGGTATTATCTCTTAATTATATTCATTTAGATAGTGGTTGCGAGTTATTTAATTTCGATGATAAACTAAAGTAGGTAAGGCCATTTATGTAATTACATAAAATATATTAATCAAATGATTTAACTGCACAATTTTGTAAATATTAATCGTAGCTTCTTCAATCAGATATCATGACCAAAATTTAGTTTAATATTAGGTTCAGATATCTAATATCGCTATAGGATTATTAAACTACTAGCTGTGCCCGCGACTTCGTACGCGTGAAAACCCGTTTTCGCAACATTTTTAATTTTTTCTCTACACCTATTACTCGTAGTCGTAGCGTGATGGGATATAGCCTATAGCCTTCCTTGATAAATAGGCTGAAAACATTTTTCAAATCGGACTGGTAGTTTCTGAGATTAGCGCGTTCAAGTAAACAAACAAACAAACAAACTCTTCAGCTTTATAATATTAGTATACTCGTAGATACTACAGGATTTACTCTTATGATTGTATGAACAGTGCACACCAAACTCATACACAAACTAGCCTACCTATAATTTACTTCAAATTAATAGGGATGTTTCCTGGGTCAAAAAGCAAGAGTTTTAATTAGTCCGTCAGTTAACTTATCAAAAAATACTCTACACGTATTTTTCACTTTTTCAAACTAGCTAATGAAAATTTAAAGAGATAAAGCGCACCAAAGTTCATAAGAAGAGGCCCGTGACGTCAATGCGTGCATAAAAGTGCCGCACGTTGTGACGTCGTGCGGAACTTCAACGCACCATAACTATGTAATTATTTGTTAGATTGACAAATAAAAATATATGTGTCCAATATTTTTTGATATTAAACATGACGGACTAAAAAATTTTTTTAGGAAACTAGCCTATTGTAGGTACTAGGTAGGTACAATCTTAGGACATCTTTTCTTCTTCCTATTTAGTACCTTGCCAGAGTGGTCGTATTGTGATCATCATTGTAAATCACGATGAGGTATCATCTTTGCAATAATGGCATTACTAAATGACTACTTATTACTTACCCCATGATTTACGCGTTAGGGCATTTAGCCGTAGTATTCTATTGTATTGTTAAACATACCGGATGGTTGATACGTACACCGCGTAATGGAATCGATTAACACGCGAAATTGCGCATTCCGAGCTAATCGCTCGTATGAATCAAATAGGGGTAGGGTTGGCCAAAGTGCGCAATGGAGGACAGGACACTCTTTCCATGGGTATTATTGATAAAAAAGCTCAAGTAGAGAAACAAGGGTCTCAACGTGACATTAAAATAGATATTTTAGTTGAAATGGAAAGTACAAAATCTTATAAAACTCCGCTTTACGAAGCAAGCTAATGTCGCTACTGTCCTGCACTTGCGCCTGTGTCACTAAGTCACTAACTTGCTCCGAGCGAACTGTTCGAAGTTTGTGCCAATAGTGTCACATTGTTGTTACTCATTTATTTAAGCTTTAATGCCATTATAATTGGTACAAAAGGCGAACTTAATGCCATTGGACATTCTCTGCCAGACCTTTGGTCTAAGTAAAAAAATAACGTTATTTCAGCTTACTTAGCCGGTCGTATGCCAAGATTCCGGATAACAACCCGAAAGCCACTGTGTCTCATCCCCTTCATCCTTCCACCCATATTGCGCTGAAGGAACACGGGAAGGTTTTATTGGGTGAGTCAACTGGCCCATTGGCGGTATAAGTAAAATGGCCAAAAATCGATCGGTCGATAGCAGGCATAGAGTGAGGTATGCGTATTCCAGAATAAAGTGGGCTGAATGGTCTGCATTCGGCTAGCTTCGTTTTATTCCAGAAAACCGCTTTATTTATTGTGTATCCCGACAGCAACCCTCGCTAAATACGCAACAATCTGGGCGGCCGACCGGCAATTAGCTGCATAATGACGTAATCGCCGAGATGTACGTACTCCTACGCTTAACTTATCGGCAACATCCTAAAAGGAGAAATGCGGCTCTAAAATAATTAACAGGAGTTTTGAGTTATATTCGTAAATCATAAATTGAGCATATTTTCTGCTCCTATTCTCCTACGCAGGCTATGAAATACGGATGTAAAGTCAAGCGAAACTTTTTTGAATGATTCCAGAATAAAAGGCACTCTTCATTCATATGCAGAATACACAAGTTAAACAAAGTTATGCAGCAGGAAACAGCTGAATGCGACATGATTTTTGGACTTTATTTATACATTCGGAATCCGTCTGTTGTGCGCGCCACGCTAACGACTCGTTGCAAATGGAAATTCCACTTAAAAATTTACAGCGTTAATTCTTTTGTTTTTTCGTTTTTAAGTTTATTTTTTACATGAAAATCCTCTCATCCTCTCTTAATTTTTACATGCCGCGGAATTAATGTGTCAAAGAAATACATGACAAGCAGTTTTATCGAAATTAAAATTAAGTATTTAATTTAATGTTAAAATTAAATAATGTTGTCGCAACGAACGTTGATGCGTGAATATGCGCCGAAAAGTTTTGATGTTGTTTGTTTCCATCATCTAACCTATCGAATATCAAACCGCTGTCCATAAAAAGTCGATTGTGTCTCGATTATATTCCTTGGTGCTGAATGTGCCTATTTTTGGTACATATTCGTTAAAAAAAAGATTCGAGTTAGGACTCGAGTCGGAAGTACTCGGAAGACTCGGTTAAGTATTCGTGTACTGGTACGAGTATTCGAATACTTCAGTCGACTCGAGTACTTTTTGAATCGAACTTTGTAGTTTGCTTTTGACGACAATTTCTAATATTTTATCACAAATCATGTATAGACGATAGGGAAAAAAGTATTTATGTAAAAGTTCCATACTTCGGGTTTTTTCTTCGAACCTATCCTATCACAGTCAGTGGTTAAAAAATACTAAAACTTAACACTAAATTCCACAATTAAATTGATAACTCTCAAGAAACAAATAATTAAATCTTTAATATCTCGTTTAAATTGACCGTCCGGGCCAGGTAAGAAACATAAACACATTCAAACCTAGAAAAAGTGCACATTTTAATTGAAAACCAGTCGAAAAGTGGTCGAAGGGCCTTTTTTTGCATGAAGTTTTGACGGATTCGATTTTCAATTCGATCGAATTCAAAAAGTGCAACTTGTCTACAAACAATTCATCAACACGTGACTAACTTCACAATGCTTTTTAAAGTGGAGTGGGCATACGAAAATTGACTGTACGACGTACAATCGAAGGTTGCTATTAACGTACACGACTTAGTATTTGTAAAGAGCAGGGCTTCTTTATTCTAAAATTTGAAGATGAATTTCACAATTTTTATTGACGACTTTCAAGTAATAGCACATTACACGTTTGTTGCAGACACACAAGCAAGCAAGCAAGAAGTTCTTAGTTGCTAGAGTAAAAAATAAACATTTTTATTTGATGTTGCCAACAGTATTCAAATACCGTGAGTACTAGAAATCTGTATTCGATTATTGTGGATCCGAATACAGAATTTTACATACTCGAGTACGTGAGTACCTGCTAGGTATTCGAGTCGGTACTCGAGTCAGTGTGACTCGGCACATCTCTAGTGCTGAACAAGAACAAGAAAAAATCGCTGATTGTCTTTGGTTATTGTGTCGCTGTCAACTGTCAATGTCAGACATTTGAATAAGCCGCCAGCTGCCACATTTCTCAGCTGATTTGTTTGCTGTAAAATTTTATTGTTTTTCAATAATTATTAACAAAAACATATGATCAAAATATGTTCATTAAAAAAGTATACACGCTAGTGTTCATACGCAATGATGCGCAAATTCTATTGGGCTTGAAGAAACGCGGATTTGGTATTAACAAGTGGAATGGTTTCGGCGGCAAAGTGGAGCCAAATGAGAAGATAATTGATGCTGCAGCCAGAGAACTAAAAGAGGAGTGTTGTCTGAATGTAAAAACAAGCAATCTGAAGAATATAGGCCACCTGGAGTTTACTTTTGAAGGCGATTCGACGATGATGGACGTGAGAGTTTTCGCCACCAATTCCTTTGAAGGAGTCCCATCAGAGACGGAAGAAATGTTACCCAAATGGTTTGAATTAGACCAGATTCCTTACGATGACATGTGGCTCGACGATCGTCTCTGGTTCCCGTTTATGCTAAAAGGGAAATTGTTCTATGGGAGATTCCATTACCAAGGTTTTGACAAAATATTGAACTACACTATTGAAGAGCTGGAATCCATGGAAAGTTTTTATGCTAAGAAGAAATAATCAGATGGAACTTTAATCTTAACATTTGACTTAGTGTGTAGTTCGGTTCTTTTATCACATGACATGATTACATTATTAGCTGTACCTAATAATATTGTAGTGGTTAGGCTTCCAGGAAAGTAGCATGATATCAACACCAAAATAAAAAGTAAGGAATGGTTACCTACAATAATATAATATTAATTATTTTCTTAAATTTTGATTCTCAGCTACTGTGCATTTTACCTATTTAAATTTTCTAGTGATTTTTATTACACTTCGTAAGCCAATATCTCTGTTTTGTAGTAGTAGATAGTTTATAAGATTACTGTGATTATGAAAAATTACATTTTTATGTGTGAGAACTAATTATTAGTGTTAGGGCAGGACCCTAAATAATCTATTTTAGTATTAATATTCTGTGAGAAATATATTTGTAAACAAACCACATTTTGTTTCTTTTATTTCTAAAATATTGATGTACTCAATACAGAGAATGGGGACATCAAGCTCAATCACTAACATTAACCCATCAAACCCCAAGTGGTCTCATAAGACTGCACTAAACAAAGTGATTTCTATTGTCTCAATTTTCAGAGCTTAAAGGGTTAATGTTGTTTTAAGTGTATTCCAGGAGGATAATAATCAAACAAGTAATTAAAAAAATATTTTTATTCATCATCACCCATACAACATTGTGTAAAACCATTCAGAAAACAAACATACATTTAACTAAAGTACAAATTAATTTTGAACATTAAACTTACTTTAGAAGTTAGGTGTAAAAATTAGAAAGACTATAGCTAGCTTTTAAGGCTTGCATATAGCAATGGATATTAGTCTATTTTTATTACTTAGTAGGTATTATTGAAATCTTGAGGCAGTATTTGGCACCGGGGTTATGTATTTTGATAATTGTTCTTTTATGTAATCATTCGTAAATCTGGACTAGTGATAAAACTGTTCTTATTCTTATTTTTTTAGTTTTTATACACAGTGCTGTAGTGATTCTGATCCTCGACCACTATACATTTTATCGAAGTGGATTGCTTACAATTTATTGATGATTTTATAATCACGGATTATTGTTAAATGACAATTTTAGGTCAATTAGCAGTAAATCAATTCCATTGAAGACTCACAATAGATTGAATGTTATTAAAGCTCATGAACTCCATGTTTTTAGACTGAACTAAAAGAGAAGAAAACAATACAAATTCACTGAACATTAGAATTGTCTTTTGATTTCAAATTGCTTTCTGTGTGTTGGCGCGAATAGACCAAACAAGTGGATGAAGGAATCAACAAACATTAATAATAATAATAACACGGCCTCTACGTGTTGGATCTGTATCCCCACGCAAGCCTTATAAAGGACCGGGCCACTTTTGACCCGTGAGCTCCAAAGCGTACAAACATAATAATAATAATAAATTTCCTTGGACATTTTACACTACGCTTCTAGTCACATTGGCCTTTTAGATGTCCACTTCCATAAAAAAGAAATCAATGGTATCGCAAAATACTGTCGCCCGTATTCACAAACGATGCTTGCTTAAGTGAAGCAGCAAATCGAACGCACAGCGTTGAATAAAGCTCTGCGATTGGTTCGTGTGTTACTCTGTGCGTCCACTCGCACTGTGAGACCTCGTAGAAATGTTTGTGAAAACGGGCGCGTATTTCCTACCTCTGTGAGAGGCATGACAAAAACATGTGGTTTTCCAAGTCTTGTTTGGTCATTCGCTATTTTTTTTATCCTAAAAAACTTGTTGGCAGTAATGTAGACATGTCTCATTCTCCCCCACTGTCCACATCAGACAGGGTGGTCCGGGCGAGATTCCTGGCCAGCGCCAGTCGCAGCAAGTCTGCCTTCTCGCCAGCTAGTGCCAGCGGCTTGAGCTCCAGACACAGCATGATCTCGAAGGTTTCGCTGGAAGAGAAGACTGGCTCGTCCGACTCTAAGAGAGGGAGTGTGTCTAGGAGGAGCGTCTCCCAGAAGCTGGTGAGAGAAAAGGGTACTGTTAGTTACATAGAGACATAGAGACTTGCCAACTAATGAGCTGAGGTCGAAACTCAGTGTCGCAAATCCACGCTAAATTTTGTCAGTGTGTGCGTGCGCGCCGCATACGTGTTGGCGCGCTCACATACAAACCGCGCACGGTGCGTTTCAAAGAAGAGGACCTACTCATTTGTATTTACTCTGTTCACACACAGAAAGTAATCAAAATATGTGCTCATTATCCACTGCGGTATCAGTACTAAACGTTCGAATAATCTTTAGTACTACGCAAGCAATGTAAACTGTTTACATTATGACGTCGCTGCTGTGATCATTGCTGTCACGAGCTGTTCTGTTTTTGGGCATATTGCTGCGTCACCGGCCCCGCCCCCTTGTCACATCTCCCTTTAGTTTCTGTGATCTGTGTTTAGTTATGTTTGCTATCAAAACTACTATCCGATCGAGCTAACTGCGCAACGGCTGGAATGCTACTCTTCCTCCCACTTATCCGCACACCTCCCCGCGTTCGCCCCGTCCGTACCAGAACGTCGTTATGACGTCACGGCTGTTAGGTGCGCAGTTACTCGACCGGATTGTCTCTCAAAAAATATCTCATTTTTTATTGAGAATTTACAATTCAATTTACGTTTCTAGAGAAGAAATATGTATAAGGTATAGAAAACTTACTAATCAGGTGCTATTTTGGACGTGAGCAAAGACACTAGTAGTTTCCCGGCCTTTTTGAATTCTCTATTTTTGTACAATCTGTGAAAGTCACAGTATTTTCCTGGAACAATAAAAACATGAATTTATGGTTAATTGTGTAACAGGCAGAATTACAATTCAAAGGAGCAGTAGGCAGGGATACCATGATGATGACATATTCTTTGCAGATAATTACAGCGTTTTTATTTCAACATAAAAAGCTTAATTTTATTTTTGCAAGTAGGCTTTTAAAAAGTACTTTTACAGTTGAAGGTAAGACAGACAGTTTTTATGTGGTTGAGGATTCCAGGCGAAGTCCACTTTCTTCAGCCTGGTCATTAGATTACATCTTGTGAGCAAGATACAGGCCGAGATTTTTGTTGTGGATAAAAAAAATATAAAGAAATACACGAGTACTTGAACATAGCAATCGTGGCCACAGAACTAAAGCGCTACATGAAACAACGCCTTGGATGATTGAACGTCTTACTCATCTGCACTCCAATCCATGGGCGAGTGCATATGTTAAACTCGTTGCAGTTAAAAAGAAAGAAACCACGTTATTATTAGCATGGCATAGGCCAGCTGCTCTTTAAGATTAAGAAGACACTCAACAAATCCGTTAACAGTCTGGCGACGGATTGCAGAAAAAAAAGTGTCACCGTGACCCACCCAAGAACAGCAGCGTGTCGCACAGCAGCATTGCGGCTCCAGCCGTGAGCAACAAGTCGGCGGCCGGCAGCGCGCCCGTCGCGCAGTACTGACGCAGTGCGCGGTCGGCGGCGCGCGCGCACAGCGCCGAGTCTCGCGCGCGCACCGCCCACGACAGCGCGCCGCCTACGCGGCCGCCTGCTAAGTGCCGCGCGCCCATGCAGGTGCATACTGACTGCACTGGGAACATTATAAAGGTGTTTTTAATATCGTGCGGATTTAGCTACTCCGCAGACTACAGTTCACCTTTACAGATTGGATTTTTATTGGCGGTCGAGCTGTCAACACAGCTACACAGGATTTGCAGCAGTGGTAACGATAGGGTGGGGATAGTCCCGTAAGTTTGGTGAAAAAAATATCAATTTGTGGTAGAGATATGAGCACAGAATAATAATAAGTACTACCACAGGTTAAACCTAAATAAATTGTACGTAAACCAAACCAAACCACATTTAGTAAAGAAGCTAAACAGACCCAAAGCAAAACTATCCTTAAGATTTAAAAGGATAGGTAGGATAGGAGGACCCCACACGCCGAAAAATGTCGCGCACATTGGTTTTCATAGAAGCGCACTGAAGTAAGTTGAGTCTTGAGGATGAATCAATACAAATGATGATCTTCAGAGGTGTTTATTAAAACATCTTCTCTCAACCAGTTTTACACTTATAATGATATAAATTCTAGTTACATAAATTAGTTTAATTATTCTTACGAAATCTGCCTTACTATGCTTTTAAAGCGCATACTCTGCTGCTTTATGTTGTAGACACTATTAATAATTAAATTATGTTACTGTTAAACACTAAATAGCGACTTATTACAGCACACGCACGCGGGGTCCAAGCGCGAGGATTCCATGTCCCGCGTGCGTATTCGACGCATTAAATAAATACTTGTATGAAAAGGACACTTGCGGGTGCCACGTATGCGGAGCACCACGCTAAGCAGTAATTCATTTCGTTGTGGGTTGTCCCCCTGGGACAAATTTGAAACGGTTGGGTTGTTTAAGGTCAAGCTGTCTATGGCTTTGGATTGATTGATTTGCTTGAATAGTCCCACCGAAATTCAGCACATAAACTAAAACTTATTTTATTTTTGCAAGTAGGCTTATAAAAAGCACTTTTACATGTCCCAGTATTAACCCTACCACTGCTTCGGGACAATAAATGGGCCAGTGCTGAGAAGCGACGCAAGAAACTCAGGAAACTCAAATCAAACTTTTTGCGTTCTGTTAGAAATGTTCACAACAATATAATAATTCACATACATCCTACACACATTTGAGTATCGTTTTTTTTTTTTTTTTCATTTATTCCATCTGCGATCAGCTATCATTCTTTATCAGATTGGTTTGAATGATGGTACCTAAACAGAATTCATTAATCATCCACTTCAACTTACCAACTCCCAGCAGTCCGTATTTCTTGGCTTCAGCGACTATCCTCATCGCCTTGGCCTCGTTCTGCACGGGCATCCGCTCCAGGATGAGTTCGGCGCGCCGCAGCCCCTCCGGGGGCCGAGACGCGAGGTACGACAGGCCCACAGACCACAGAGACGGGTGCTCCATGAGCAGGGACCCGTACTCGAGGATGAGGCTGTCTCGGAGCCGGCCTGTGACACTGCAGAGAAAAGTAATTCATTTGAATTGATAGTGAGACTCTTAGGGCTGATTTTAAGAGCAAAATGACGATTTGTAAGAACTTTTTATTAGTCTAAACAAATAAATAAATTTTGACTTTGACTTGACTACCATCGTCGGGTAACTATTAACTGAAGAATAAACTTGTCATTTCGACATATTCCCCATACTGAAAGTACTGAAACTATCATTGTGCCAGTTATACCAAGAGTTATTCTCGGAAAAATGTTTGGTCGAATCGGGCCTTAAGGTCATAGCAGACTTATCAACTCTGAAAGCGCGCTGACAACCGCGAGGCGAGGCGTTTACGTAACGGCGCGTATAAGTGCGCGATGCAGTATGGAGTTTCATACGAAAAATACTGAGTACTGACCGCCTCGAGTTGATACGGTTACGATCCCTTTCTGGGTTGATAAGTGTGCTACTTTAAGGTACTAAATAAAGCATCATTCTTCTTACTCGGTCTGGTGTTTATCCATAATCTCCAGCTTGCCACAGTGGAACAGAATGTCAGTCAGATGCGTAGCAAACCAGCCGTTGTCTGATATCTGTTGTATCTCATGGATCACCTGCAATAAGAAAGAACAAGCGGTTTAAATGAGTTACTATAAAATTCGTATTTCTTACATCAATCAAACTCCTTGTGTCGCGAATATTACCATATTTTGCTCATTTCTCATAATGCTGGGTTTCTTTCGCTATACTTGTCTTGGCTATACATTAAGGCACATAATACACCGCGTTGTACCAGAGTAAATACAAATGAGTAGGTCATCTTCATAGAAACGCCCGAGCGCGGTTTGTATGTGAGCGCGCCAATACGTATGCGGCGCGCACGCACACACTGACAAAACTTAGCGTGGATTAGCGGTGAAGTGCGCTGAATTTTGTCAGTGTGTGCGTGCGCGCCATTGTATTTACTCTGGTTGTACTATCTACTTTGGCTGCACTGCTAATTTAGTTACCCGTACGAGTGACGTTTAGGCCCCAGTAGTGGGAGAACTGAATTAAGGGACAAAGAACGAAGAGAAATAACTTGTGGATACAACAATGTCAAGAGTCAAGAAGTGTGGAGCGGTGGACTGCTGCCGAGATTCCGCGCACACCTCTAGGTCCAAAAACACAAAAGCCGGACTCTGTGCTTTATTTGGCAATTAGTGTCGTAGCTCACGAGTAAGTACTATTATCATCGGTTGCCCAACATCCTGATGCGTGCGCTACATATTATTCTGTGGCTCGACTTTCACCTGGCGCGGCAGCCCAATAAAAAGCCTAACAAAAGCCACAAAAGACGGACAGGCTGGACAAGACCGTAAAAAGCCAAACATGTCCGGCTAAAGCCAGACACCTGGCAACCCTACATCTAACCACAGAATAATAATAAGTACTACGTACAGAAGTTTTACTTCGCGAAGGTATTTAAAAAAATGTATGCTCAATTTCATTAACAATATGGTGTAATTTAGCCTGTCTCAAGAGTCAAGCACCATTTTGTTGACAAACGTCAGTGATCGACACTGCGCCGAAGCTATATTGCTGACTTCGGTAAAATGATGTGACGTGAGATGCCAAACTGCGGAAAATGGCGGAGGAAATACATGATTTAGCATGAATTATCATGAATAATATTAGTCTTGAGGCAACTTAAAAAAGTACATTCTGTGTTTTTATTATTATTTAGGCAGTTAAATACTGCACAGCATTTAGTACATCATTTTCTTTATTGTCTTCCAGCATACACAAGAATACGCGTGCGTGAGTCAATGTTCGGCCTTGTCGAATAGTATCCTGTAGGTGGGCCATCGTGCGTGTTTTGTTTTCGATGTAAACTCGCGGAGATGAACAGGCCTGGTCTTACTTGGTGCAGATCGCCGTCCATGAGCGCTCGCGCCATCTCGTCAAGCGGCGTGGTCGGCGCGCCGGTCCGCATGCCGGCGCAGGCGGCGGCGGCGGCGCCGAGCGCGTGGCGGCGCGCCCACGGAGCCGTGAACATCACCCAGCCGCCCAGGATGTCGAACCAGGACGAGTACTTATCCCGGATCGACTCGAACGCTGAGTAGTCGCCGATGATCAACTGGTGAGATTTTTGGTTATTAGTTAGAAAAGAATTTTTAATTTATTTCTGTATAAAACTTAGCCTAGATAAGTACACGTTTGGTTTCAATTAAAATTAGTGCACGGACATAATTAATAATACCTAAACTAAGCAAAATATTTTGCCCGTATCTTAGGTATCTATTTTAAAAGTGCTTACACAATATGAAAATATTAATGACAAACTAAAAACAAATACATTTACTGCTAAACTAAAACTTAACAACTGGGTGAGCATTATTTTTACATTGACCTAAATTATGTAATTATTACAAGTTACAGTTTTATTTTAAGATATTATATAGAGGCTGAATTAATCCTTAAAGATCATGTAGCTCCCTGTAACTCACAACTTACCTTTAAACACATCACTCCTTTGGATATTATAAAAGCTTTTAATATGCTAAATGTAAAAAATACTACTGACCTATGGGGAATCTCTGTGAAGGTAGTCAAGCATATTATCCACATCATTGCCCCACAGTTGGCGATTATATTTAATAACTGTGTGGATAAGGGGGTCTTCCCGGACCTTATGAAGCATAGCAAAGTTCTGCCGCTCTTTAAGTCTGGCAGCAGGCTCGACCCTGGTAATTTTAGGCCAATTTCAATCTTACCAGCTTTAAGTAAAATTTTTGAGAAAATTATACNATTTATTGGCAAATATCATCTAGGTTTTTTTTAATTCAACTTTGAAGTTTTCTGAAAAGTTAAAAATGGACTGAACAATTAAGTTTACATGGCTATAAAAAAATAAATAAAAGAGATAGCAATCTTCGGATTTTATCAAAACTTCTCTAGTCTATCCCCATTCAAATGGTATACTAATCTTGTTTAAATAATAACAACAACTTCACAAATTCCTTAAATTAGTGCATTGACTCTACTCGGACTGATTTGCGAAATTTGTGTTTATAGCCCCTTTTTGTGTGAATAGCACGTTATTAAACACCTAACAAGTAAAAAATATTTATCTTATGCAATGTAAAAACCTTTTCCCTATCGTTTTTTAATTTGGATTTCTTGAATTTAAGGACGAAAATAATTATTTTGACCGTTTATTTATTATTATTACAAATTTAGTTCAAAATGTCCGCCTCGGCAACGTATACAGTCACGACATCTTCTTCTAATTTCGACTGTTGTCGTATGCAGCCACATTTCTTTTTTATTACTACAAATCTGTCAAATCATTTTGGCACACGATGCGCCAAACACCCTGTATATTTTTATCGTTCGAGGTTCACTGGTGTGCCAACGTTTTAAGAGCTATTTGGCTTTAACAATTTGAAGCTGAATGTGCTGGGGACTAAATAGATTTCAACAATATCACAAAAAATATTAAAGATCTTCTTACCCAGTACGATCCATATGACCAGTGTGTTCCCCAAGATGGCCAGTAGCAGCATCAGAGCGAAAACTATGAACCAGGCCAGTTGCCCCCACCAGGGGGGGCTGTACGGTCTCACCCCCAGCCCCATGCAGTTGCCAAGAGTTACTCTGTAACAAAGAAAACAATACTTTAAGTCTATTTCTTTAAGGTCTATAATTCAAATTACTTATTAAGTATTCAAATTACCTATAATTAAAACTTATGAAGCATAGCAAAGTTCTGCCGCTCTTTAAGTCTGGCAGCAGGCTCGACCCTGGTAATTTTAGGCCAATTTCAATCTTACCAGCTTTAAGTAAAATTTTTGAGAAAATTATACAAGAACAGCTTACGATCTATTTCACTTTAAATAAACTTTTTCATAGTGAACAGTATGGTTTTACTAAGGGTCGTTCCACTACCGACGCTGGTGCTACTCTCCTCAAACATATTTTTGGGGCTTGGGAGGATTCTCAGAATGCCTTAGGGGTGTTTTGCGACCTATCAAAGGCTTTCGATTGTGTTGAACATCAAACGCTAATTCGAAAACTAGAATATTACGGAGTCAGGGATTCAGCACTTTCATTAATTCTATCGTATCTCAGTGGCAGGATTCAAAGAGTAGATATAAACGGAACTATTTCATGTGGGTCACCCGTAAAAATGGGAGTTCCTCAAGGGTCCATTCTGGGTCCATTATTATTTCTCATCTATATAAATGATCTTCCATCATTTGTAAAGAACTCCTGTGAAATCGTATTATTTGCCGACGACACATCTTTGATTTTTAATATTAATAGAAACAAGGCTAACTTTGACGATGTAAATGATGCACTATCAAGAGTTCTAAGTTGGTTCACCGCAAACAATCTGCAGCTCAATGCTAAAAAAACAAAATGTATTAAATTCACTCTGCCCAACGTAAAATCTGTTGATACCCAAATAATATTGAATAATGATACAATTGAGCTTGTGGATACGACGATATTTTTGGGACTTACACTGGACTCTAAACTTCAGTGGGGACCCCATATNCACTTAGCCAGAAGGATATCTTAGACTTGTCATGCTCACTAAAATGTCTCTGGGGTAGTGGCGTGTGAGGCGGGTCGTTACATTCCCTATAATATGGTCGAGTGAAGCGATGGCTGGTTCACACGTCATGTCTGTGAACAGGCGCTGCCTTCGGGGACTGGTCAAGGAAAGATATACCTGACATAAAATATATAATATGTATGTATCAAAACGCAATAATTAACCTAGAAATTAGCACGGCACTAAATAAATATTTTCAAAACTGCCACGCGGTCTCGTGCTAGATGGGCGTCTTCTATCAACGGGAGCGCGTGGTAAGTAACTTGCTTCTGAATGTATTGTAACTTCCTACTTTTTTATATTTTTAAACCGGCAGACAGTGGTGACTGAGTTTGTTGCGGCGCTTCTTCTCAGCACTTGCCAAATGTTTGTCTCGAAGCGCTGGTAGGGCAAAAAAAGAATGAGACATGTATAGGCTCCTTAAGAGCATTTGACGATTTGCAAGTACTAATTTAATTAGTCCAAACAAATAAAGAAAATTTTGATTTTGATTTTTTGAAGATTATAAAGATGTAATAGAATACAAGTTACTATTAAAAAACTTTAGCGTTAAGTCAGCCTGTGACCACGGCCGATGCAACTCGGTCGAAACGTCAGGCAAATACAGGTAATATTTCAATGTTACCTATCCGCGTATCGCGTTAAGAGCCATTTTACATTTTCGTGCGAATTTCTAAGATTTTGGAAGCATGAATTACTATCTTAGGCAACACCCAGAGATTATTTAATAACTGCGAAAGATAGGTCGATCCTTGTTGTTGACCATTAATGAAACGGATTTACTAAAACTCTTTTGCTTAATTCACAGTGCCCCATCTCCCACAACCATTTTACGAAAAAATTGCCGCAGACTCATTTTCAAAGTCCTGTATCTATTATTTATGCTCATATAATAAGCTTAAAAATATAAAGTAATCATCGGACATATATTCTTGTAGTTCATTAATGAAATAGATTCTTGAATTTCATTACCATTATTGAGTAAAATCTAAAAATAATTTGGCAAATTTGAAGATTAACGTCACATTTTGATCGTGGTTTTTGGTTTAAAAACACAGCAATAACTGCAATAAAAGTATCCCAAAATAAAGAATATTCATTGTAGAATTGATTTCTACAGTTATTGTTTAAATATTAGTAACCACTTTGTCAAAATATTGATGTGAATATCAGTATAAATTACAATGCGCAAGCCGACATCGATTAGTATGGCGCGAGCGCCCGTCAAGGCAGGACCTGTGTCACTTTTCCCGCCATGACGTTTACGTGCGTTCGTGTCGTGAAGCGGTGATTTATACGGCGACCAAATACATTTGATACTATGCCGAGTGGTCCCTGTTTCGAGTCGGCCGTTTGGTGTAGTGGTTTGAAACGGACTAATTTGTTTGTTTGGAGGCAATAGGCTCCGAAAAAAAATTATTTCACGATTAGAATTCAAAATGTTTTCGTATTTTATGTAGGCTATAAAATATTTTTAAAAAGTTTAGTCCAAAATCTTTAATAAATTGGACGTTTAATAATAACATATTTTTTTTTTGTTTCCAGTACGATTTTAGTACTAGTTTTTCAGAAATTCTATGATTTAACTAAAGTTTTTATATTTTATGCATATTTATTAACTTCTAAAATATATTATATTCTATTGATAGATGACGTGCTTCGTATTTTATTAAAATTATTACCTGACTAGGTTCTATAGGTGTAGAATGTTATTTTGGAGATAACTTGCTTCCATAGAGATATTTTATAGAGAGATGCTTAGTAATGCGCTGAGTTCGAAACTCAGTGTCGCATTAGGAATTCACACACACAAAGTCAAAATATGTGCTCATTATCCACTGCGGTATTAGTATTTAATGTTCGAATAATCTTTAGTACTATGCAAGCAATGTAAACTGTTTACATTATGTCGTCGCTGCTGTCATTATTGCTTTCACAAGCAATATGTTCTGTTTTTGGGCATATTGTTGCGACACCGCCCCCTTGTCACATCTCCCTTTAGTTTCTGTAATCTGTGCTTGCATCGAGGTTGATATCAATTAAAATTAAATATTCCTTAGTGCTTTTGATTTAAATTATTTTTTTATTTTGACACGTGTTTGAAAAATCAAGGTCAGATCGCAATAAAATAACAAGTGAAAACGTAACATTGATTAGGTAATTCCATTAGAAAGTAGGTATGTATTCATTCCTAGGATTCCCCACCCACCCACCATCAAATTCAAGAGAATTCAAGGGAGTGCAGTTTCCCATCTCATGCTTAGTGGCCGCGGTTTAAAATAGCGTGGTTGCATAAAGGAACTACGTGCGCTGCTCATACTAATTTTCGATACAAAAGCAAGTGTTGGCGCCCTCACGAGTTTTAGCGGAGTGCCATATGGTAGCGGGAGTAGACTTAAGGGAAATCTATGCTTCTTAGACAGCCAGTTGTATGTAGCATGCTCCAGAGTATGCGCACAATTCTGGTCGATGCTAGGGATGGATAAGCGTCGCTGTCGCTGGCGACAGGGTCTTCTGGTTCAGGGTTCATGGCGTAGGTCTCAGGCAAAATTAAATCCACTCATAGAGAATAATAGGCTAGATGTCAAAATTTCAATTATTTGTCCGTCAGACAGTTATTTAGAAAATATTACTCATATTTTTTATTTTCTTTCATAATTATATAATAACAGTGCTACATCGAGTTGAAATGGCGCGATACGTCACGTTTGAGTAGAATTTTTACTCAAAAGTGACGTCACGCGACATTTCAACTCAATACAATACTGTAATTACTCGTTTATGAAAAAAAAAAAAATATGTCTCCAAAATTTTTTAATTATCTGTCTGACGGACTAAACAGAATTTCGATTTCATTACCCAGTCATCATCCCTATTACACACAGCACTAGAGTCGTATCGGAACTGAGTGAACCAACGGTTTTGCGATAGGAACGTCCGACCCGAGTGATAGTACTGCTGTACTGTAAAGTTTCATCAAAATCTGTTCAGTAGTTTTTGCGTGAAAGAGTAACAAACATCCAGACATCCACACAAACGTTCGTATTTATAATATTAGTAAGACTAGTAAGATTAAAGATAGTTAGATGAATTATTTTAGTTATTTGTTTAATAATAATAATATTTATTTATTTATTTATTTCTTAGCTCTGTCTGATAATGGATCTGGAGGAGTTGCAATGGCCACCTCCATTGCAACTCCGTAACAAAACAATAGAACCCTATGGAGTGGAGGCTTGTGTGATTCGCTTTGACGAATACTTCGTCCCTAAATGATATCCAGGGTCCGATGATGGAGCTGTAAGGGGGCAAATTTTTTTTTCACTATGTCACTGTCTTTATTTTTTACTTATAGCCCGACCAGGAACATAAAAACCCTGGCACAGAGGCGCGTTAATTGCATTTGATAGTGCAACACTGAGTACAGTCGTACCTGTGTTAAATTAATAGGCTAATTTTATGTATCAGGATTCAGGATTACGGGCTAATTTGATATTTTCATAAATTAACGAAAAAAGATTATATAGGTAACTTGGTCTAAATAAATTAAATGAAACCATCAATCGAGCTAGTAGGATTTATTTTGATATTCATCAATAATCAAATTCAGAACTTGAATATTGAACTGCAATGTCTGCTCATGAACGCTTCAAACTCGGTACTTCTTTCCCAATTCCATAAAATTCAACACTTTCAAAGTGACAAAAATCTTTAAAATAGGTAGTTGAAACAAACCACAGCTAATTTTCATAGTGGACTATACTATACGATAAACATGTCAGTCAATTTGACAACCTTTGTCGGAAACATTATTCAATGAAAATATTGTCCGAACCCTTAGTACTTCTCTTAGACAAATAATTTAACACATTGTGAACCAGTTTTCTTTCACGACTATAAAAAGTTTTTAGCAATTTAATTCCCAAATCCATTGCACACATTTAAAATAAAGTTTGTTTACACTTTGACAGCAATAGACAGTTTATTATTGACATGCAAGGTGACATGTCAATGAAGTTTTCAGTTACTGTTGCCATTAAAAGAAATTAGTACCATTAGTTTTCCGCAACATGGCGAGGCTTTTTATGTTCCTGGTCGGGCTATAATATATATTTTACATATTATACCTATACGTGTTTCATTTATTAATCGAAATATAAAAATCTTTGAAAGACTAAATACCTAAACTCTATTAAAATTTTAAATTAATTATTCATGTTTTAATACCTTATTCTACCTAAAAATTAATAACTTATATCAAGTCTTATTACGGTCACGGCTCAAGATTTTTTTGTCCATTTCGGCGTTCTTTTTACTCTTTTGTCTTTGCGTTGACAGTTTGTAGCTAAATTCGCGCGGAATATTTTTGTGAAATGGCTCTTAAGAGTTAATGATAAAGTAATCTACGAGGATGAATTCACATTTTTAGATGAATTAGGTACAGTTTACTTATAATGTTAAAATTGATTATTCGACGTGTTTGACCACCACTAGATCAGACAGCAAGAATAACAGATAAAAAGTAATATTAAAGAAGAAATAATAGTGGGAGAGTGAAAAAGATGACGTTGATCTTTCTACTAGTGACAACACGATTTATAGTACAATTTTGATCGATCGATTACATAATACACACGGATGTCTAATTCGTTGCACTTAGATTAAAACTTAATTTACAATGAAGTCTTAGAGCGCGCTACGTGTACACTACCGTTTAGTTAAATTGAAACCTAATGTGGTCAAGAAAATTTATACGCTCAGAAAATAGATATATTTACTAACGATAGAATCAACAGGCAGCTAAACATTTCAGGTATAATTTTGAGTTTTGAGGAACTAAAATCTATGGTCATCGATTTGTATTTAGATCAAGATCAAATTGTATTATTAGCGAGACGACATTATAGGGATTAAACTGAATAACGATGACATACATTCATCATCATCATTTCAGCCACAGGACGTCCACTGCTGAACATAGGCCTCCCCCAATGACTTCCACATCGCACGGTTGGTAGCGGCCTGCATCCAGCGCCTTCCTGTTACCTTTATCAGGTCGTCGGTCCACCTCTATGATATGGCATGCATTATTCATTGCTAATTGAATACCGTCTCTATCTGTTTGTTATTCTAACCCTATGTGCCGAAAACACGAAATTGGATACGTAAACTGATGTTTTTGAAGATTCCTAGGTGAAAACTAAACGGCGTGTACGCGTACTTAAGAGAACTAGTGTGTGAACAGTTAATAGTAATTTAGAGGGAGTGGCGACGCTGACGGAACGCACCGCGCCGGATCAATTCCAATTTACACTCGAGGACACGCGCTGAAACCTGAAATACAACATTGAAGAGTTAAAAAATAGGCAAGTCTGTTTAAAGCCCGTTTTCACCATCAATCCCTAATTTTTAAGTGATATGGTAACACATAACAGTAATTTTGTTTTCGTAAGGGTCACTTAAAAAATAGGAATTGATGGTGAAAATGGGCATAAGACAAGCAGTGATCATTGAAGTAATATTACTACGTATAGNTGGTTATTCTGTTGAGAATGTTGGATCACCGGAGCTGGAGGAGCTTGCGTTAAAATTTCTTGAAAAGCAGTGGTAATGTGCATTTTAGGAGAGGATTTGGTCTTTAATAAATGTTTGTTAATTTTTTTCTGAGTTTTTCTATTTGTTACTAGTTTAAATGNATAACCTTAGTCTGAGCCCCGATTACGGTAATTTTTAACGTTTCCCCAATCCAGACGCGCTTCATCGATTCTGCGATACGACAGCTGACGTTGACTGACAGCTGACTGTTTTGACCAATCGTATCGCAGAATCGAAGAAGCGCGTCTGGATTGTAGACGTTAAAAATTACCGTAATCGGGGCTCAGAGCTATCAACACATGAGTGAGACCAAAGGCCAACCGACGGCATTTGCTCAGGCCACTATCGGACATTATTCAAATTCAATCCTCCGATGTACTCGGGTCCATTCTTGGAGAGCCGCTCTGGCTCGGTACTTCTCTGATCAGCAGGGCCACGAGGAGAAAATTTCTATGAAAACAACTGGAAGGGGATTGGGGGTCCCCTCGAAGCCGAACAAATCTATACTAATATTATAAATGCGAAAGTAACTCAGTCTGTCTGTCTGTCTCGCTTTCACGCCTAAACCACTAAACCGATTTTGATGAAATTTGGTGTAGAGATGGTTTGAGTCCCGGGAAAGGACGATAGTTTTTATCCCGGTTTTTGAAACAGGGACGCGCGCGATGAAGTTTTTCTGTGACAGACAAACATCCACGCGGACGAAGCCGCGGGCGGAAAGCTAGTGCTTATTAAGGTAAGCCTCAACTTTACGTGACTCAAAAGCAACCAAAGTCGGTAAAAAACAAGCTAAAAGCAAAGCTAAAAGTGTATATCAATGTTAGTTGACAACTGCTGTCAAAAATAGGGTGAACCCTAAAGTAGCAACACTGAAATTTGTTTTTCGCAGTTGGTAGAAATGACGAATTGAAGCTTGTGGTTGGTTGGCTGATAATTTCTTTTCCCATCCGTAGCCGATTGGTGTCGTGCTATCCAAATGGGTAAGGAGCAGTTTTGTGCTAAAAATGTGAATTTAATAATTATTTCGCGGATATAATGTGTGATAAAGTGCTATAAACGCGCCAGAATAATAAAAGTGTTACGGTTTCCAGTAATTTTACCCGTAAAATTAAAAAATGTCTTGACGCCTAGTTGTCGGCCATGGCGGAGACATGTTTTTCTCGTGGTGTAAAGTTAATCTTTTTCCATCTCGCTACTCGTTTGTTCATTGCGAGGTGCGAAGGAACTTTTCCTCTCATCATTACCTAGTCGTGAAAACTAAACTTCGATTTTAGTGAATTTTGTGAACTTTAGTGCTAACCGGCGACTTCAAAATTTCAGGTAAGCCCCGTGGTATTCGCACGGCGCGCAAGCACGTGAACCATCGCAGAGAGCAGCGATGGGCAGACAAAGATTACAAAAAAGCCCACATGGGTACGAGGTGGAAGGCTAATCCCTTCGGTGGTGCATCTCACGCTAAGGGCATCGTCCTGGAGAAAGTGTAAGTACGTTTCTCCAGTTTACTCGGCGCTCATAATATTCCTTGTGCCGTTTTTTACTGAAGAAACAGCTATTATCAAGTACTGTAATATATGTAAGTTATGTAAATGAAGTATTGTGGAACTACGGCTTGTGGGGAGTACGTGAGTGGGTGCGCCCAAGTGCGATGGCGTCGGGCGTCGGTGTTGGCTGCGGCGCGACCACGCGTGGTATTATACCTGTGAATGTGTTTCTATTACAATCACAGGATAATACTGCGAGTGGCGCGTTGCGCACTCCACGTGAACGCAACGAGCGAAGAGTAAATAGTAGTAACTCGCGAGGTCAGTGAACTCTGATTGAGGTTATGCCAGTTTTTGCGTGGTGTTTACTCAATTCTACAGTTATTTTCATTGATTCTATGTGTAAACAGTATTTAAAGTTAACTGTACAATCGAAAATGTATTTTGTGTATGAAGATATTGTACTCTTTGATTTCTGTATTGTAATAAACAACACATGTTATTTGAATACCTACACTGATTTGATTGTATGTTGTTTTGAATTTGATTATTATCTGCATTCAGATAAGTTGATGTTATTTCTATTTCAAGTATGTATGTATTTCCACAGTGGCGTCGAGGCCAAGCAGCCCAACTCCGCCATCAGGAAGTGCGTCAGGGTCCAGCTCATCAAGAACGGCAAGAAGGTCACGGCGTTCGTGCCTCGCGACGGTTGCCTCAACCACATTGAAGAGAACGATGAAGTTCTAGTGGCAGGATTCGGTCGTAAAGGTCACGCTGTGGGTGACATTCCCGGAGTCAGATTTAAGGTGAGGATAGTAATTTTATTCTAGCATAGATCCCACAAAAGTTAGCAGGGAAGCACTGGACGCAGGCCGCTACCAATTGATCAACATGGAAAGCATTGGGGGAGGCCTATGTTCAGCAGTGGACGTCCTATGGCTGAAATGATGATGATGATAGAACCCACATGGTCATTTAGGCCAGATAATAACATGCTTTCTTTACCTATTCAGTTGTTGATTGGCCCAACTTTACTTTGTAGTTAGCTCTGCACTCAATATCTATGATGATCAGCTTAGTTTTTGGAGTATTTGCTCCTCTGAATGCCATGATGCAGTCAGCCTAACTGATTTTGGTAGAAAAGTAACATTAACATGCTGTTCTGACTTAACCCAATGATATTCTTTCTTGCAGGTGGTCAAGGTCGCCAATGTGTCGCTCCTCGCCCTGTACAAAGAAAAGAAGGAGAGGCCACGATCATAGACAACCAACACTGTGATAAGGTATGTAAAATATTTTTTTATTTGCACATAGGTACCTACTAATTCCTTCAGGACAATATTCCAAAGATCATTGATGTGGAAACTTACAAAATGATGTTACTATAATTTATTTGCTACTTCTGAGTGCCATGACGTCCAACTCTTACTGATTCAGTTCACTTTCTTTGTCCCAAGAACCATGTGGTTGCATGAACTGTGACTTCATTAATTTCTCTTTTTGTTTCAGTGTCCTGCTGCTGCAAAGTGGTGTTGTTTATAAGTGTACTTTCAAAAATGGAAAATCATAGTGCATAATAAACTTATGTACGCCAATTTTTATCTTTTATTTCTGAAATTCTTTTATCTAGGTAGTTATGTATTTTAGTAAAATATGTAAACCTAGGTACTTACATGGTAGATTAGGTACACACTTCACATGTAGATCATGTAAATAATTTTGCTGAGCTTCACCTACACCAACACCAGTATTTAAACACAAAAACAATGGTTTTACTTTATTTTGGATATTCTTTCATCCAATAGGTAGTTCAAATTCTAAAACGAATTGAAAGACTTAAATTCGTCGCATCGTAGGTTATCGCGTTAGGTAGTGCATCTTTTCTGAAGTCTTGCTGTAATGGCTGAGAAAACTCCCTTTTATCATTCACACGAAAGGGGTGTTTTCAGCAAAATTTCATTCGGATGCTCTGTTACGTCACCTCGAGGGGGTGACCCCCTCCCCGCAAAGCTATCCTACTTAGGTATAAAGACGAAAGTTTGTATGGATGTCTGGACGTTTGTTACTCTTTCACGCAAAAACTACTGAACGGAATTTGATGAAACTATATTAAAGGCTATAATTTATCACGACAAATTAAATTTCACGCGGGTGAAGCCTCGGGCAAAAGCTAGTATACTATACCTCCGCGCCGCACGAAACTACCCGGTTGTTATTGCAATAGTGTTAACTGCCCATTGCCAGTCATGTCGTCTCGTTCTATCGCAAATAATCACCATTTGATGTGAGTGAGAGCAAAAACGGAAATGGATAGTTAATACTGTGGCCGTGTGTACCAGTAGTAGAACTAGGCCAAATAGAACATCACATTTATTTATTGAATGTGTGGGTACCTACAAATCTCGTATCTATAGTAGGTATCATCATACATCTACGTTTGTGGATTTGTGGTCTACAGTATGCTGTGTTCTATTCTTCCCAGTCGTCATCAAAATGTACTGCAACGTAAGATAAGGGAAAGGGGTGACTTGTCGCCATAACCTTTTTGAAGTCCATGGAGATGACTATGGAGGTGCGCGAACGCAGCGAAGTGACAGTGACAGAAACTTTACATTTTCCTTAAATCTAAGGATGTGACAAAAAAGTCACTCGTGCGCGCGAGCCCTAATAATTCCTATTTCACTTCAAACAGCGTTTTGCTCGTGTTCTATTATAATATAGGAAAACTCAAGTAATCCGATTTAATATTTATTGCTAAATATAATTTTCATTGCTTTGATTACAATAGATACATATTTTGCATTAATTACACTAAGTTGTAGCAACTAACAGCGGTTAAAAATATACATATGCATCAATACATACATTTTTAAATTTTTACCAATCTAAACTACGTAATTCGTAAGATAGTGGAAAATATAGATTTTTTTAGTGGATTCACAGTTATATTAATGTAGGATGAGAACAGTGTTAGGTTTTTTCATCTATATCTATATATATAAAAATGAAACCCGTTTCGCGTTGTCACGGCATCACGTGTGAACGGCTGAACCGATTTCGATAATTCTTTTTTTTAAATGTTTGTGGAAGTCCAAGGATGGTTCTTACGGAAAAAAATATTAAGAAAATCTCTACGCTAAGGCGGTACGAAGTTCGCCGGGTCAGCTAGTTTTTAATAAATAGCCTGAAGTGTGTTTAGTTTTTAGACACATTCTAAGTACAGGTATTACAGTGGATGTTTAAAATTAGTGTCTTTTGAAATAGTGCAAAATAAACCGGTGCTAAATAACGATTAAAACTTTAGCTTAACCTAAGTTTAATAAATAGTAAATACGTTTTATAGGTACTGCTTTTACACTAACTCCTTGAGTAAACGAGCATTTCAAATACACATTTATTCGAAATTAATATTCGTGTGTATCTTTTATTTTTACAAGTAGCAGATTGCATAGGTGTTCGTGTAAAAGCAGCGGCGGAGATGATTTACACCCAATAGAATACTTCTAATTGTTTCAATATAACATTTCGAGTAATGGCAATGAAATGTAAGCCCCTAAATGATAATAAGATTCCGTTTAATAAATACACATTCTGAATAAACGAGTGAAAAATATCCGTTAGATGTAAATTATCTCGTAAGCCGGGGTTGTCTTAACAGAAGTAAATTTCCTCTCTAAATTATCATTCCCTGCATGGACACAACTTTTGATTTTCTGACCTTTAGCCTGCCGTGAACACAGTCCAACAACAACTAGCCCCATTCCACTCCCACTGTCCATTTTAGGAAGCCCATACAGATAGAACACCGTCGTTATTCATAATTCCATATCAACTCATACAAAAATACATTTCGTCGCCGCAAGTTGTAAACCTGCTAACTTTCAAGAAACGTTACAGGACAAGCAAAAACTACCACAATTTATAATGTTGCAACCTACATTAACGTTTAATATGCATTTACATCTTAAGAATGTCCTGTAGTAATTTTTAGTTGGCAAGTTTACACAGCGACTATTTTATAATATTGATAACTCACACTAACTTATGAGAGTTGATTTACATGGAGTGGGTGACGGCACCAAAAGATGCTGATAGATAACATAATAAAGGGACAAGTTTTCTCTACGTATCAATATCAGCTACTTAACACCATAACCGACTCCATTTATCAGTCTCCATAACAGTATTCTGTAATTGATGAAGACCTGAAATGCCACGCGGTGTATTGAGATTCAAGCGTTGAATGAAACCTGTAAAATTTTCTAAGAATTCATTTGCTAAAACATTGCGTTCTAACATATCCTTAATCCTAATTATGCCTACTACGTCGCGCTAGTAGATCCAATCCAATATGCATTTAATCTTAAATATCACACCATTTCATACATTTATTCAAAAATACCTCTTTAGAGTATTATCCAACGCTACATCACAGTCGTACTAGATGATTCGGTATTGTAATTATGCGAGTGTTTTATTTGTGTTCCGCTCGCCATTTTAAAATTAGGCCCAATATTCATGCTTTATTTTAGAAAATAAGTTTTAGTAATTTAGGGCCAAATTATTATAATCTCAAAAATCCCTCTGCCGAGGTCATCCATAAATAACTTCACATACAATAAAGTACATACGTAGATAGTAAACGTTAATAGGAGGGACAATTTCAACAGCATTATTAATGTAGACTATCAGGAATTTTAAGCAAATAGTTGAAATATTTACACCACAGTGTAGTTGCTTAATTGATTAAGTGAAATCTAAATGTTAAGTATTTTCTACTTAGGTAAAGCAGTTTTTACTTAAGAGCCATTTTACATTTTCGTGCGAATTTCTAAGATTTTGGAAGCATGAATTACTATCTTAAGCAACACCCAGAGATTATTTAATAACTGCGAAAGATAGGTCGATCCTTGGTGTTGACCATTAATGAAACGGATTTACTAAAACTCTTTTGCTTAATTCTCAGTGCCCCATCTCCCACAACCATTTTACGGAAAAATTGCCGCAGACTCTATTTCAAAGTCCTGTATCTATTATTTATGCTCATATAATAAGCTTAAAAATATATAGTAATCATCAAACATATATTCTTGTAGTCCATTAATGAAATAGATTCTTGAATTTCATTACCATTATTGAGTAAAATCTAAAAATAATTTGGCAAATTTGANGATTTCCACATCGCATCGCATCTTCAGTCAGTCCATCTTGAGATTTTAGAAAAATTCCCACTCGTCACGGTAGGAACAAAGCTAGGGATGACCCACGCCTTCATTCCAGAACCAATAAAATAACTGAAAGTCAGAAACTTTCAGTTATTTTATTGTCTCTATTGTTAACTATCTCAGTGGTTGAGTACACGTATAATAGCTGTGAGGTAGAAGTTACGGGACTATTCCCACCTCTCCTTTTTACCGCTGCATTTCCTGTGTAGCTAGCACCTAGACTAGTTGATTTAAAGCCAAGGTATATAAGTTTTTAGGTAATGACTTAGTGCATCTAAAAATGTAAAACTTTCTAGTTTTTTGTAACATTGAAAAATCTAAAAAGAAGCATCATTTTTTTTACGTTCAAGTGTTTCTAAGAAATTTAAATGGAAGCTTTTGATGACAACGTATTGCTTACTTTTTCAGCTGTCGAACGAATCACTTTTATACTCATAGGTCCTGTACATCGGTAGATCTGGTAAATAAATGAATCCATCCAGACTCAGAAACTAAAAAAATTAAAATAGCTGTAATTTTTTAATACTGGATTTGTCGATTAAATTGATCATATTATTGCGCCCTAACGGGTCGGACACTGGTGACCAGACACACTGTACAATTATTATAATTTTAGCCTATCTCGTGAGCTAGGTTTCAATAATTAGGGTGATTTACTAACTAACCAGTCGCATACGAACAACAGCAGTGAGATTCAAACAAGTTTGATCCATGATGCCGCACGACTATTGTGTGAGCCCACCCGTAACCCAAGCTTATTTAGCTTAACACAAGGGGCTGGACGGGACTATTAGTAATTTGTACAAAGTGCTTATAATTTAAAAAAAAATCTTTTTATTGCTGTATTTAACCTTCCTTTCGTATAGTAATTTATGCGTCAGTGTCAAGTCTGCGATTTTTATTCTTTGAAATTTTCGTAAAATGGCTGCCGCCGCGGTGACGCCTTATAATTAACAAATTAAATTAGTGTTTTAAAGTGCATAAATGTACAACTTAATGGTAAAAAGTCATTCCTTGATTTTTACTTAATATGTATCTGGAGTTATTTGAACAGTATTTTCGTCTATAGGGTGGCATAATATTTCAAAAAACAAAACTGCACTCAAGCGTGTTGTCACAGCAACCGCTGAGCACATACTAATTGAATTTCGGTCCATGGACCTGTTTGCGTGCCAGAAACAGTCTAGTTGACATGTCTTCTCTAGTACGTAGTACATTATATCTCAATGGCAGTGATCCCGTAATCTTGACGCTTGACGCAACACTATTAATGTTAGATGATGGCATAATAATATGTAAGTGTACTAATCTTTATGACTAAAGCTCGACCTATGCCACACTGACGAACGAAGCCATTTATGTAAACAGTGAGTACTAAGTATAGGCACCACTAAACAATGTATGGCATTGGTCGCGCAACAAGAGTTGAGACCATCAACACAATGCTTTCTGTCTCGCTTGCAGACATTTCGTTACTATTATGGTGGGTCCAGACTGGGCGAACGGGCTCGCGCGGCACGCTGGTCATCTTGCTCATCTTGCTCTTGAGTGAGCAGGATGTCAAGTTTGCCGCGTGAGCCCGTTCGCCCAGTCTGGACGCACCATCAGAAAGTGGGGTTACACTCTACAAAAAGAAACCACTTCAGCAACTCAAGAGCGAGGTAGCTGGAGTATTCGATATTCGAACTTGGATGTGTAATGTTTGTGTTTTGTATTCGAACATCACATCATGTTCGTCTCATCAACGGGTCTGACGCAGAATGTGCACTTCGCAAAATGAGCATTTCGTGAAATGCGCACTTTTACATACTGATATTATACAAACAAACTCTTCAGCATTTACATTTGTATAGAAAAGTGCGCATTTTTTAAAGTGCTCATTTTGCGAAGTGCACTTTCTGCGTCAGACTCGTCTCAGCTTTCGTTGAGCGACCTATATTTTTTAGAAACGGCAATCAAAATTTTACACTAAGCGTAATAGCAATAAAGGTGACATTCGCTCACCAGACGCGTGGTCTCGGGCTAGGTGTCCGGCTGGTCGGCGCGCGGGTAGTCCATGGTCTTGATGTAGGCCACGGCGGCGCAGAACTGCGTCCACCAGTATAGGGCTTCGCCCTGCAGCGCCGAGCCGCCCAGAGCGTTCACCAGCTCGATGGTGGACAGAAGCGATGGTGGGTTGACCTGGTAAGAAATATGGTATTTAGGTACCTACACGGTTTGGAATAGATCAGAATGAGTAGTGCTTTAAATTAAACTTAGCTGATGTCGAAGAAGAATAGGTCTGTCTATTATCCCAAACGTATTTATCGTTATCCCCAGCTAAAGTCCGGTCGCCGAGCAGATATGATTTCGTCAAATGACCCCAAGCTATCCATCCTTATCGTTCGCGCGTGATTCTATTGCTGTCGCGACTATGCGACGGGCGGCCGCAGTGTGCGAGCGCGATAGCAATAATTATGCGCGAGCGATAAGGATGGGTAGCTTGGGGTCATTGGACGAAATTTTATATGCTCTGCGACTAGACTTTAGATTGCTTTGTATTGGAACATTTAAGTAAGTGAATGTACAGTGTACACGTACACACACACAAGTAAAGCTCACTCGCCTTCGTGAGTTGCAAGAACTATAAGCAATGGTCTGCAGCAGCCAACCTATTTGCAGTTAAGATACTTCCAAATGGCTATTTGCAGCCAGGCGCCATGTAATAGTGACGTCACGCTTACCTTGATGATGATATACACGAGTACGGGTGTGAGGTCATCGGCGGCGGGTGCGTCGCCCTCTGTGAGCCCCAGCACCGCCATCAGTGACGTCACGCAGCGCATTACGCACATGACCTGTGGAGTTAGACGTTAGCCTTGCGTTAGTAACCAGGGCATACGAGAGATTTCACCACTGTACAGTGGCGCCATGCTGATAAAAGCAAGCGCGATAGCCCTCCTTTGCTTCAGCGCTTTCCAGTTGGTACCACTGTCTTAGCCACTAGCAAGTGACTGAGTTTACTATGGCGCCAACTGCAGAATTTGAACATTGGTGTAATCATGTCTAATAATGGGCCTAATATCAACTATGGAGAGGGGTATGCACGATGTTTCTTTACGAGATCGAATCAGAAATGAGGAGATCCGTAAATGAACTAAAGTCCACAAGGTAGACTGACGATCTCATCATCACTCATTAAGGTACCAGGAACCGCTGGATACAGGTCGTTATCAATCGGTCTGTGGAAATCATTGGGGGATGTCTCTATATTCAGGCATGGAAGGCAAGAGCGGTCGGCACGCGGTCGATCGCCAACCCGCTGGATAAACGCCATCACAAAGGCTACTGAGTCCACTTTGATCCAGTGTACTCGCGACGCCTCTAACCGTTAGAAAATGGAGAGCTACCCTCGGAAATAACATCGAACACCACGACCACTCTGACAAGTGTGCCCGAGTAAGAAGAAGTCTATTTTCAGCAGTGGACGTCCTGCCTGTAATGATGATGATGATGAGTATTACTTAATTTTAAGCTGCATGTGTCAAAAAAGGCTGTATGTTTCTTTAATAAAGATAAATAAATATATTACCTTGTCCCTGGGCGTGCGGTAGACGGGTAGATGTCTCAGCAGCGCCTGCGCGCGCGGGAAGGGCGCGGCCCACACGTGGCGCGGCGACACGCCCGCGCGCGACGCGCTGCACCACGCCGCCAGCCGCCGAATGTGCTCGCTTAAGACCCTAGAAGAAAACTCTTCTTTAAGATTTCTCCTTCTTTTGTGTTCTATTTGATCTCGATAATTTTACTGTTGACCTAACTTAAAATGACATTGTTTAAATTTTATATTTTTGCATGCCATACCACAGAATAATAATAAGTACTACGTACAGAAGTTTTACTTCGCGAAGGTATTTAAAAAAATGTATGCTCAATGTCATTAACAATATGGTGTAATTTAGCTTGTCTCAAGAGTCAAGCAAGTTTGTCAGAAGTTTTGTTGACAAACGTCAGTGATCGGTACTGCGCCGAAGCTATAGGGCTGACTTCGGTAAAATGATGTGACGTGAGGTGCCAATCTGCAGAAAATGGCGGAGGAAATACATGATTTAGCATGAATTATCATGAATAATATTAACTACTTATTTACCTCTCAGTGTCTTGAGGCAACTTAAAAAAGTACATTCTGTGTTTTTATTATTATTTAGGCAGTTAAATACTGCACAGTATTTAGTACACCATTTTCTTTATTTTTTTCCATCATACACAAGAATACGCGTGCGTGAGTCAATGTTCGCTCGTATGTGAGGCCTTGTCGAATAGTACTCTTGTAGGGGGCAATCGTGCGTGTTTTGTTTTCGATGTAAACTCGCGGAGATGAACAGGCCTGGTCATACTCTGGTGAAATGTGTGATACTACTCTAATCTACTTTACCATCACTTACATGTACCACTTTCAAGAGAAATAAATGATTTGATTTGATTCAACTTTACTCTTCGTGTGTGTTAAGTGTATGCAAATAAATGATTTATCTATCTATCTATCTATTTGATAATATCCGGCTCGAAGGACCCCATGGTGCTTTGGGTACAATAGACATATTGACACCACAGTCAACTGACGTACTTTTTAAAACTGTCAAAACTAAACTCGCCCATAGATTTCGTATGGCACTACAAGCAAGTGACGTCACTATTTTGTCAACCCAATTAAACTACTTTTTCAATTATAATTCGAACAAAAATCTTTGGCTCCTGAGCAGGGAGACGACAAATGAAACAGCTGGATGCGTGTGCGATAATCAAGAGCGTAGTTTATTAATTATTAACTGCTTATATACTAATAAGATGTGCGTCAGTCGTGACGCGCGACCTACTGTGTTTTGTCTAATAAACAAATGCAGTGTACGCTGACGCTACATCACTCCCCCCTTTAAAAAAATACAATGTAATGGGGGTGCAAAAATAAAAACAAAATAATAATGTATCATAGCTTACAAAAAAAAAAAAGTATTGTGACTACAGGTGCGATATGTAAACTGATACTGGTATTTGCCGTATAAGCAAAAATACCAGTCAAGTGCATTGTTATGTAATTTAAGAAGGCGTGCTATAAATAGAATAATAATATTATTATGATGAATTAAATCGAACGACGGGTTTTGAAGTTCGTCCGGAACGGGTCTTCTTGACGATGCTGGTGGTTGTCTGCTTAGTTAGCTCTGGTGAAGATTCAGGACTCGTCGATGTTGCTGGTGACGGCTGCTCGCGGAAGTCTNTTTATTTTTACTGCATCTGACAACATTTTACTGCTTTACTGCATCGTTACATTACGGGACACCCTGTATAAGTAGTATATCCGTTAAGCCAGCACCCATAACACAATTTTTTTTTTGTTCCTTGTTGTTATAATTACCCGTTACAAATTAAGTTGCTTACTTTGGGGCTAGCAGGCGCTGTGTGAAATTGTCCAAAGATTATTTATTTATTTATGCTAATGAGACTCAATAAAATAATATAAAACTCACTGATCCCTCGCGATGTCGCCATCTCCGTTGGGAAACAGCACTTGCAGGTACAGACGCGAAAACGCCGCGCGCTCCACTGTCAGCTCCAATGTTTCCAACACAGCGGGGGTCGCACCTGGTAGAAAAATAGAAAATCTTTATTTACCAAAAAAAAATGGACATCTTGGAGGAGACCTTTGTCCAGCAGTGGACGTTATTTGACTGAAACGAACGAACTAAAGAAAAAGACAAAAAAGCCTTAAGTAACTAGAACCAGCAAGAGCAACGCACAGTGTGAAATTTAGTACGTGTAAAGCCCGGTCTGTGAGCACGTAAAATTTTGTCCAATGACCCCAAGCTACCCATCCTTATCGCTCGCGCGTAATAAATTGCTGTTATGACTGTGCGACGGGCACCTGCAGTGAGTGTGCGAGCGCGACAGCAACATAATTATGCGCAAACGATAAGGATGAGTAGCTTGGGGTCATTGGACAAAATTCTACGTGCTCACTGACCAGACTATAGTCGCAGAATATTCGCCTCCATAGGGTGCATTTATATTCCCGAACAACAAATAATAGCAAGTCTGGGAATTCAAGGATTCTCTCCTCTGGTCTTAATGGAAAATAATTTCCGAATGTCATAGGATACAATGTCATATTTAAAGTCTTATGTAATTTACCTTCCCACGAAGGATCAGCTTTCACTTCGGCTGTCATGGCCTTAATGTGAGCGGTCAGTCTTGTAGCTTTCTCGTCCATCAACTCGCCACCTAAAACACAAAACAAAAAATTGATGCACTTTATATATTGGTCTAAAAAATCTGATGTTAAGAAGAGTAACAGTTTTGTATAGTGTGCTGCTGTCGATTGTACTATAGGCTATTATAACGTCATTGATGACGCATTGTGAATGGAATTGAGTTGTGTTATCGACTATACTAGGTGCCGCGGTGAGTTGTTGAGTTTTTGTTCTAGGTCAATAGACTCTTAATACCTCTGCTACTGGTATTGATCTATTGTGCGTGCAAGTGTAGTGTTGTAATGCCGCCGTTACAACAGATATTGAAAAACACGCCCTTTAGTTCGTTTAGCCATGCGTCCGCCCTACTTCCGGGCGTTTTCGCAATGAGGCCTATCATTTTAACTCTCACCAGTTGGCGCCACTGTTAAGTAAGGTTACTGTCATTTGCTATTGCCGAAAACAGTGGCTAAAGGATACGGTTATTTCAGTAATGCCAGTGGTGTCAACTGTTATGCCGGATGTACACTCATCAATCTCGAATGAGACATTCGAGAGTTTTCGCCCAAATGTCTCGCTGTCAACCTTTTTAAACTGCGATCTTCAACCCGCCTGCCAAGCGTGGGCATTATGGCAAAACCCTCCACTATAGTGGAGGTGGCTCATAGTCCAGCAGTGGACTGTAAAGGGCTGTTGATGATGATGTTTTATTATGGATCTGGACGCCGGGCCCGCGCTCCAGCTGCTCCAGCGGGCAGTACTTGTAGTACACTCACCGTTGTGGTGCGCGTGGCGGGCGGCGTGCAGGCGCGCCAGGCGGNCCCCATTGTCATGTTATGAATTTCATTTTGCAATAAAAATACCATAGTTATGACTCGATTGTCGTAATGAACGAACTTTGTAAACCTTGCAGGTTTGTACGGAACCCTCGGTGCGCGAGTCCGACTCGCACTTGGCCGGTTTTTAGAGAAACAAGCAGTGGGTCTAGTCAAAATGCCATCGCAAACCAATATGAAGTTTTCACTAATGTCAGTCGCCGCGTCACCAGTAATTCGATTCGATCGGAAAATGGCAGCCAAAATGCACATTGAACCACCAACNATCTAAATTTACAGGTAATCTATATATATAAAAATGAAACCCGTTTCGCGTTGTCACGGCATCACGTGTGAACGGCTGAACCGATTTCGATAATTCTTTTTTTTAAATGTTTGTGGAAGTCCAAGGATGGTTCTTACGGAAAAAAATATTAAGAAAATCTCTACGCTAAGGCGGTACGAAGTTCGCCGGGTCAGCTAGTTTAAAATAAATTAGGTTTTTAAGACCAGAATGAAGAGTTTTTTTAAAACAGTTGTGGTTTCGAATTATTGGGGTATGGTGTCAAACTGTCTATTGATAGAGTGGAAAATAAAATCAGGGTATATTAGGAAAATGAGATGTGCTCGCTGAGGACCCTATTAGAGCAAAATAAGACATCCTCTATCATCTGGCTCGAAGGACCATGGCATGTTGAGTACGTTTGACAACGTAGGAAACAGAAATTGAACTATATGAAAAACTGCGTGTTAAATACATAGTACTAATGTAAAATCAGCGTCAAATAGTTCCTGACACCCAAAATAAACAAAAAAGTTGATAACACAAACTTATTGCAATGTAACAAAGAGGTGTTGCGAACTTTTCGCTACTTTCGGTTTACGAACTATTTGACGCTGAATGTAACGGTCGGCACAGCGCACTGCACGATTTGTTTCAGTTAACGCCGCCCAGAATGAATCCTATGTTACTAATCCAGTCTAACATCTTTTTAGATGTACGGCCATTTTTTAAAGGCACCAAACGGTAACTACGCAGTCACTTTGGTCCGTACAATGGCACGGTGATGGTGCGGTGTGTCTACACAGGTCCTTATGGTCGGCCGTTTGGTGTAGTGGTTCAGAACGGGCTACTATGCCGAGAGGTCCCGGGTTCGATTCCCGGCCGGGCAAGAAATTGAAATGATGAATTTTAATTTCTGTGACGGGTCTGGGTGTGACTATGTATAANAAACCGCGTCTCCGCATTGCATCGAATCCTATGAAAATGTGGTTTTTGGACATAGCGATACTTATTTTTCACAATTTTTATTTTTAAAAATTACTGGTCGATAGGTTACTTTATTTTGATGAATAAATGTTATTAAAAGATTTTTTCTAAAACTGATAGTTTAGCTGGAAAAAAATATTTTCCATCACAATAGTACGCCGGCTGCGCTCGATTCGGATATAATGACGTCATGCGGCCCTGCGTACGTTGACTTTTAGCGGCAAAAACGGCCTATGTTTATTACTTAATATCTTCGTAAGTAATGGTCCGATTTGGATAATTCAAAAAGATATATCTTTCTTATGTCTTAAAGATTAACGTAAATACTAGTTTTATTGAATTTTCTACAACAGTACTGATCCTCATTGTCGACAATTTTTGGTTTTTTGGAAATAATCCCGTTTTTAACTTTATCTACCTTGGTTAAAAATATCCAAAGTTCAAGTTTCTGGCTTAAATGAGATGGAGAAGCCATTTTAAAAGGTATGAGCGAAACGGAGAGGGCCATCTTACCAAGCAGGGATGTTATGGATATCCGTAACCGTAACCGAAACTATCGGATATCCGAAATAAAAAAATATCCATAACCGTAANCTCCAGCGCGCGGGCAGCCGCCGCCGCGCGCGCGCACCAGCCGCACTCCAGCACGACTGCGTTGATTTGTCTGTAAGTATTAAAATATTATTTATTCACAGAGATAATGTGATGTAAGTTAGGGAAAGGAATCAATTACTTAGGCTGAGTGGCACCGACTTAGTTTAGCCGTAAAAAACCGGTGCCTTTTGAATTAAATTTGAAATATTTTTGACGTTTGTTAAAGTAACATGACGCAACCAGCCTTAGCTGTTTACAATATGTCGTACATATAATTTACATAATTGAGTCACATTATACGCGGAGTTCTTTGTTCGTACGCAATGTCATTCGCAGGCCAGGTAGGCGGCGTAGGGCCGGCGCGCCGCCAGGTCGGCCCGCAGCGCGGCGGCGGGCGGGGTACTCACGTGGCGCGCGCGCGGGCGGCGTGCTGCAGCGCGGCGCGGCACGAGGCCAGGTAGGCGGCGTAGGGCCGGCGCGCCGCCAGGTCGGCCCGCAGGCGGCGGCGGGCGGGGTACTCACGTGGCGCGCGCGCGGGCGGCGTGCTGCAGCGCGGCGCGGCACGAGGCCAGGTAGGCGGCGTAGGGCCGGCGCGCCGCCAGGTCGGCCCGCAGGCGGCGGCGGGCGGGGTACTCACGTGGCGCGCGCGCGGGCGGCGTGCTGCAGCGCGGCGCGGCACGAGGCCAGGTAGGCGGCGTAGGGCCGGCGCGCCGCCAGGTCGGCCCGCAGGCGGCGGCGGGCGGGGTACTCACGTGGCGCGCGCGCGGGCGGCGTGCTGCAGCGCGGCGCGGCACGAGGCCAGGTAGGCGGCGTAGGGCCGGCGCGCCGCCAGGTCGGCCCGCAGGCGGCGGCGGGCGGGGTACTCACGTGGCGCGCGCGCGGGCGGCGTGCTGCAGCGCGGCGCGGCACGAGGCCAGGTAGGCGGCGTAGGGCCGGCGCGCCGCCAGGTCGGCCCGCAGGCGGCGGCGGGCGGGGTACTCACGTGGCGCGCGCGCGGGCGGCGTGCTGCAGCGCGGCGCGGCACGAGGCCAGGTAGGCGGCGTAGGGCCGGCGCGCCGCCAGGTCGGCCCGCAGGCGGCGGCGGGCGGGGTACTCACGTGGCGCGCGCGCGGGCGGCGTGCTGCAGCGCGGCGCGGCACGAGGCCAGGTAGGCGGCGTAGGGCCGGCGCGCCGCCAGGTCGGCCCGCAGGCGGCGGCGGGCGGGGTACTCACGTGGCGCGCGCGCGGGCGGCGTGCTGCAGCGCGGCGCGGCACGAGGCCAGGTAGGCGGCGTAGGGCCGGCGCGCCGCCAGGTCGGCCCGCAGGCGGCGGCGGGCGGGGTACTCACGTGGCGCGCGCGCGGGCGGCGTGCTGCAGCGCGGCGCGGCACGAGGCCAGGTAGGCGGCGTAGGGCCGGCGCGCCGCCAGGTCGGCCCGCAGGCGGCGGCGGGCGGGGTACTCACGTGGCGCGCGCGCGGGCGGCGTGCTGCAGCGCGGCGCGGCACGAGGCCAGGTAGGCGGCGTAGGGCCGGCGCGCCGCCAGGTCGGCCCGCAGGCGGCGGCGGGCGGGGTACTCACGTGGCGCGCGCGCGGGCGGCGTGCTGCAGCGCGGCGCGGCACGAGGCCAGGTAGGCGGCGTAGGGCCGGCGCGCCGCCAGGTCGGCCCGCAGGCGGCGGCGGGCGGGGTACTCACGTGGCGCGCGCGCGGGCGGCGTGCTGCAGCGCGGCGCGGCACGAGGCCAGGTAGGCGGCGTAGGGCCGGCGCGCCGCCAGGTCGGCCCGCAGGCGGCGGCGGGCGGGGTACTCACGTGGCGCGCGCGCGGGCGGCGTGCTGCAGCGCGGCGCGGCACGAGGCCAGGTAGGCGGCGTAGGGCCGGCGCGCCGCCAGGTCGGCCCGCAGGCGGCGGCGGGCGGGGTACTCACGTGGCGCGCGCGCGGGCGGCGTGCTGCAGCGCGGCGCGGCACGAGGCCAGGTAGGCGGCGTAGGGCCGGCGCGCCGCCAGGTCGGCCCGCAGGCGGCGGCGGGCGGGGTACTCACGTGGCGCGCGCGCGGGCGGCGTGCTGCAGCGCGGCGCGGCACGAGGCCAGGTAGGCGGCGTAGGGCCGGCGCGCCGCCAGGTCGGCCCGCAGGCGGCGGCGGGCGGGGTACTCACGTGGCGCGCGCGCGGGCGGCGTGCTGCAGCGCGGCGCGGCACGAGGCCAGGTAGGCGGCGTAGGGCCGGCGCGCCGCCAGGTCGGCCCGCAGGCGGCGGCGGGCGGGGTACTCACGTGGCGCGCGCGCGGGCGGCGTGCTGCAGCGCGGCGCGGCACGAGGCCAGGTAGGCGGCGTAGGGCCGGCGCGCCGCCAGGTCGGCCCGCAGGCGGCGGCGGGCGGGGTACTCACGTGGCGCGCGCGCGGGCGGCGTGCTGCAGCGCGGCGCGGCACGAGGCCAGGTAGGCGGCGTAGGGCCGGCGCGCCGCCAGGTCGGCCCGCAGGCGGCGGCGGGCGGGGTACTCACGTGGCGCGCGCGCGGGCGGCGTGCTGCAGCGCGGCGCGGCACGAGGCCAGGTAGGCGGCGTAGGGCCGGCGCGCCGCCAGGTCGGCCCGCAGCGCGGCGGCGAGGCGCGGCGCGGCGGGCGCGGTGAGCGCGCGGGCGACGGCGCTGGCGATGGCGGCGCCGGCCTCGCTGCTGGCGCCCGCGGCTGCGGCGCGGACCCACTCGATGAGGGACGTGCTCGTGCAGCGCTGGACGACAAAACCGTACGTATTCTTAGCGTCAGAATAAACAATGCTGGCGGAGTAAACGTCTTCTCTAGCGAGTGTGCCAAAAAAATCTATGAAGATTTTAACTCTTGAAAGTACCCGTTAGGGACGCTGTACAATCCGTCATACATTTCATTTTTTTTATATAGTCACTAGTAAAGACGTTTGATATAAACTCACACTAAGCCCCCTGATATAGACAAAAATAACCATGTAAATAGCTGGGTTCACAACACGAATGTGAATACTCTAATGGCGCTCGGCGCCGCTCCTCAAGCGCAGTAACTCTTCTAATATGGACCCGACTATTAATCTTATTAGAGACAAAAACTTTGAGACGTATTCAACGTTTTGACATCTGTCATAAGAAACCAGTAATGAAATATGAAATCTTGCAACGTCATCAGACTCACGTTGGGCACATACTCCACGGAGTACAGGTCGGGGTTGGACAGCACCATGCGCAGGCGCCGCTTCATGCTGTTGAACACCTCCGGGTCGTTCAGGTCCACCACGCCCTCGCATCTGGTAACAAGCATTTATATTTAAGGCGTTTGAATTGAATTATAATTATTATTCAGCCGAACCCGTGTGGTTCCAGCAGGACTAGAATGCGCGCCGCGATAAGCGGTTATCACGCCGTTTTATCGATTTTGCCCATACATTTTGACGTCGATTAAGTATATCACGGCGCATCCTAGCCCGGCAGGTCACGCGACATTCGCCACTAGGATGAACAGAACAAATCAAGATTGGTCAGAGCGTTTCGAACAAATAACACTGTTACGTTAATTTTATGTTATGATGTTTATTTTTTAACGGAATCTCTTTATCCTAACTTAAACTTAAGATGTGACCCGTTGGGAAATAATCCAGTAACAGTGTACTTAACTGGTTGTAAAGCTTATAAAAGTCATTTATTTTTGCAAATAGGCTTATAAAGAATACTTTTACGCTCACTTTGTCCCAACGACTTTTGTTTTGGGATCGCTTTATCCCAACGAGTCACACTGTTACTGGCTGCAGTGTGACACTTGTGACAGTAAAGAAAATATGTTAAACAGATGTCCTAACGAGTAACAGTGTGACTACCGGTTTTTTTTCCCAACAAGTAATTGTTACTCGTTTGGATGTGACTCATTGGGAACAAGCGGGGTCAGCGCTTGGCAGGTACGGGCAAGAGCATTTTATTATATATTTTTTTAATTGTTGTAAATATTGTATGTGTGATACTAATTAAAAATGTTTTCTTTCTTTCTCACTTGTCCAGGTCGGCGGAGTCGACGTCGGACACGCGGCGCGCGCCGCTCGGCCGGCGCTTGGCGGGCTCGGGCGCGCGCCGGTACTTGGCCAGGATGTCTTCCGAGCTCTCGGAGCGGCAGCCGTCGTCGCTGCGAACCTCCTCGGATACCTTGATGATACTTGGCCTCGTGCTTGTACTCACTTGTCGAGGTCGGCGGCGTCGACGTCGGACACGCGGCGCGCGCCGCTCGGCCGGCGCTTGGCGGGCTCGGGCGCGCGCCGGTACTTGGCCAGGATGTCTTCCGAGCTCTCGGAGCGGCAGCCGTCGTCGCTGCGGACCTCCTCTTCGGATACCTTGATGTCTGTTGGACCAAATGAATGCCAAGTTACTCGAGTTATAAAACCTTCCACGAATATTACTTTGAACATCTTATTTAACGTGTGGAATAGCAATAACGTGTGGAATTTGGATTTGTCTAGGAAGGAATCCCCAGGGGACGTTAGTTCTCATTTCAAAATCGCTTCACGTAACCATTTAAACAATAAAACACCGAAATGATCTTTGTCGAAGGGCCAGGTTTCAGAAGAATTGGCTTCCAGTCTGTGGCTTATGACACCGTCGCACTATGCGCGAAATTGATCGAAACATGCAGTTTTATTCATTTCGCCGTACATCTGCTCAATTTCGCGCATAGTGTAATGGCGGCATTAAATACTTACCATTCTGCTGGTGATGCGAGCGGCCTTTCTGTCGGAACATCTTGATCTTGTGCAGCAAGTTTCCTCCGGAGCGTTTCACGTTGTTCTTGAGCTCATCGAGATTGCCCACAAGGCTCTCTTCGCCGGCCATACGTCGCCTAAAAAGAAAGTTTTAAAATAAATACTACGTCACTATATGCCCTGCCCGCTGCCACTTGAGTTTAGCAATTTTGCAGGCATTTCTGATTCGATCACGCAGGGAATTCCGAGCATAGCACGCTACATCGCCGTATTCAGTTTTCATCCCATTTATCCTAGTAGAAACCCCAGATAAGTAACAATTCATGGCATATAAAAATCAAGATACAAAAACAATCTTTACCTTTGCGACTTCTCAGCTGTAGCATCGAAGCTGATGCTTTTCGGTATAGCACCAGTCGACGGCGCCTTGGCCGGCGGCGGACTGACGCGCCTCTCCGTTACATTCTCCGAATTCACGTCCTGGCTCGAGCTCTTATCCGACACAGAAGTCTCTGCACTATTCACCGACAGCGTACTAAGCGACATATTACTCGTCGCATCTCTTTTCTTCTCGATTCTAGACGAGCTGATGCTCACTATACTCGTTCGAATCTCCGATTTGACGATCCGAGCCGTCAAGTTGTTTACAAGATTGGCCGAGGTCGAAATGGTGGCGGAACTCATGCGGGTCATCAGATCGGTTATTGCTGACCTAAAAAGATAAAAAAATATATTTCTACACGTGATTACAGAATAATGGTAATTTATACTGAAGCCTAAACTAGGGAAACCTTGTATTACAAAACTGCAGGTCTCACCTGCGAATCGGTGGATATGAAACATGTTCAGCTCATGTATTGTTTATACTTTTAATTTGTGTTATAAGTCTAGCGTTTAAGGCTGGTTTTAGTGTCACGCGGACTGTCAGTGCGGATCGCTCCGCACAGCCGATCTGTATGAACTGCTAGGGAGCGGAGCGGTTCCTCCGGGCCGCGTTACTCTAAAACGCTCCCTAGAAGTTCATACAAATTGGCCGTGCGGAGCGGGTCCGCACCGGACAGTCCGCGTGACACTAAAATCAGCCTAAATCAATCAGTGCCTGAGGTATGAGAGCGGCACGGAAGGGTGACATAAGACGTGACAGAGAGTACAAATCTGAAGCATTTCTGAAGTCTCGCTCGCATATTTTAGGCACTGTCTGAGTTAACCTATAATAATCAAGTAAAAAAAAAAACATACGGCCGAACATATAACCTCCTCCTTTTTTGAAATCGGTTAAAAATTTATCTAAACTGACCTGGCCTCCGGTTGCTCGGTGTCAATCCCAGAATCGTAACGCCTATCGTACTGGCTGACCGACATGGCGTTGAAGGAACTCTCGCTAGAGTTGAGCGATCGGTCCATCAGATCCTGGTCATCGTAGGGCTTGGAGGTCGACGGCAGGTCGTACTTAGAGGTGGAAGGGTAAGGACGCTCCGGGGAATGTTGAGGTGGGAAACTATCGTCCACCCATTGAGAGGTCGCATCTGATTGGCTGTTGTTCCCGCCGTCTAGAGTGGATTCCGTTTGCACGCTGTTTCTGTGGACCAAATTAATGTTTGTATTCGATTAGTTAGTTTAAATTAGGTTTAACCATAAGGCCGGCAATACACGGACCGCTTGAAGCAGTCAGGGTCGACAGCTTCAAGCTGCGACTGCACAGTGAACTGCAGAGTTCTATGGACGCAAATACACGAACCGCTCGAGCAGTTGCAACTGATTCGGGCGGTCGACAGCACGGTGAATTTTCATCGTGCGGTCAAGCAGTCGCCAGCCATACACTGACTGCTCGAGCTGTCGACAGCTCTCGCGCAGTTACCTCAGCCCACTTTCTTCATTCCACGGCGCGCGCGCTTGTGATTTGTTGAGCAGTTAATACCAACTGCTCGAGCAGTTATCACTGGCAGCTTCAAGCTGTTGACTCCTGACTGCAAGAGCGGTCCGTGTATGTTGATCACTGACTAACTGCTCGAGCTGTCCGTGTATTGCCGGCCTAAGATTTCTAAATACTTGAAGAAATCGAAAGGCCTAAAGTAGGAATCGAACTCTTAGGCATTTTGATTTTTTCAAGTAAACAATATATTTTACAAATGATGAAAATATATATTTACCCATTTTGCGGTACGAAATCGAACACATCATTAGGCAGCTGCGCCGGAGTTGACGTGCTAGGACTTTCGGGGGCTGACGTCGCGTAGCACGTCATCACCTGTCAACAAGATAACATTATGGATATGAGATACAACATTGGCAAACGTAGAAACACACGCCGCCATGTGGAAAAAAGAAGAAGGATGGTTATGTGATATTTCAGATTTATTTATTTTTGGGAAACATACAGTTACAATATAATTTAACAGATGTTGATAATTACATTTTGCAAATATTACTTTGCGATACCATTCCTTCTTTTGAAGCAATATGCATCTCCCAATCTCAGCTCGGCGTAAAGGTGAGACGAGAGAGAAATCTCTATCATTAGGACCACAGCAGACAAGCTACTTTAGGCTGGATTTAGGGGGATCAGCGATTTTGAGACTAAATCGATGCAGTGTCGCGATTTCACGACTTCATGCGTTCGGACGCGGTATCAGAATCACGCGTTTCAGCGACGGCTATCGCTGCGACAAGCTTCCGAAAAGCCACTCAATCGCCGTGTTTAGCGTTTTTAAGTGTGCGGTGTGGAATCGCCGCCCCTTTATTATCATAGTTTTACTGAAAAGTTCCACCGTAGAGATGCTAAAAGTTTCACTTTGTCCAGTTTTATCCTACTAATATTATAAATCCCATCAAAAACAATACTTGTCAAAAAAACCAAGTCTCGCAACTCAGTTGTTCTACGGTAAAAAGTTGTGAGATCCATGTAATACCAAGTCCAGGCCAGGAAATCTTTAACGTTTTACATAAATATATTGACTTGGCCATCGCATGAAAACACGTGTAAATTAAATTATTTAGTGCGATGGCCAAGTCAATAATTTATGTAAAACGTTAAAGATTTCCTGGCCNATTCATTTAAGTGGCGTTTGAGTGCAACTTAATTTGAGAGGTGCTTAAAAATTGAGAACTGCTCAGATATTGTTTTGAGTATGCGAAATGTAAGTTTAGGAGCTGCTTAACTATTTGAGAAGCCGTCAAATATTTAAATGGCGTTTCAGTATTCGGCCGAGTGAGTGACAAAATTAAGAAACTTTGACCCGTTATAATTCTTAAACTACTGGTTCAAATTGAATGAAATTTGAAATATACCGTGTCTTTACAATGCCTGCATGGATACTGAAAATACAGTCTTCTAGTTTTATCCACAACGATGATACAGGGGGTCGAAAATGGCCTGAATTGCTTCGAGAAAAAGATGGTACGGCCGTGCCGCTTTTTTGCTCGACTTGGTGGGGGCACTGCCGTGCCCCCAGATGCGAAAGTTTGGATATCTGGATGTTTGTTACTCTTTCACGCAAAAGCTACTGAACGGATTTTGATGAAACTTTACAGTATTATTGTTTATAACCCAGATTAACATATAGGTTATAATTTATGCGATATGATAAGACGTGTCTAAAAAGCGCCATCTATCGTCATTGGTTAAAATCTACAGCGCTGGCACTACTGTTTTTGATGTTCTTAAATATTCATACGGGGGAAGCCGTGAAACGCCATCTATTAACATGATATTATCAAACAACAGATAGGGGTAAAACGAGGTCCATGCGTACGAAGACGCGGGCGGCCGGTAGTACCATAAAGTTTAAGATAACAAACTTACCGGGTAGCCGTTGACAAGGATACTCTTCCTGTTCTCTATGAAGTGCGACGGCGGGTGGTTGTGCGCCGGCAAGTCTAGCTCGCCGCCGCGAGACAGCGCCGCGGTCGCGCTCAGGTAGCCGCCGCCCCTGCGAATGTCGACTTTATGGTAGTACATTTAAGGTTTCATATTCAACGACTGCAATATCATGAGAATACCTTTGAGCGAGGAAGGTTAAACCTGAATATGGTCTTTAACTCAGGCCCCTCTTTCCCACTGGGCACTTTGGGCACGTGCCCAGGGCCCCGCGACCAAGGGGGGCCCTGTCTACTCAAAAGACCTTTCTCCAGATGATATGGGCCCGCCTTGATCCTTAAGTGCCCAGGGCTCCTAGTAGGTTAAAGACGGCCCTGCTTTAACTATTAAATAATACGGTCGAATTTTGCAAAAGCTTACCTATTTGTAAGCCCTGGCCGAGAGGTGTGTCGTGGACTTCCGACATCAGTAGGCCTCTTTACGTTGCCGTTCTGTTAAATGAAACAAATGGTTACTTTTATTAGATTGCAGTTGCAGCAATATGAAGAAGATATATAGATACTAAGAGATAAGCACATTTTTCCCCGTCGATTATGCTTGTGTTTTCTGTTGTTTATTTTGTGTTGTTTTGTGTCACTGAATAAAACATTTCAATTCATTTAATTTAAAAAAAAATGATAATCTGTGACATGCGGACAATGGGCCTTGGTTGTGTAAAGTATAAAAGTGCACAACTGCAATTCCTGTGTAGCCAGGATTTACAGCTTGATCGTCAATGAGGGCTATCCTTTTTATACTTAACAGTTGGCACCCCTGGCGATTGACAGGACCTTACTCTACAGTGGCGCCATCTTGACGAGTGCAAATGCGATAGTCCTCCTACCACTTTAGCGCTCACCAGTCGGCGCCACTGTCTTCGCTACTAGCAAGTGACAGGACCTTACTCTACCGTGGCGCTAACTGGTGAGCGCTAAAACGATAGCCCTCATTCTGACAGTAGTAAAGTTCACAATACCTGCTGCAGCTGTTTGATCGCGTCATCGTTGTGCGAGGGCCGGCGTGGCCATGACGTGTCAGAACGCGCCGCCACCGACACACAGTCGTCTGTGTCCACCTACAAATAAATTGTAGTGTAAGTGAAAATAAATAAAAATGGCAAATTTTTCATAGTGACTTTTTTCAAATTCANTAAACGAGATTTTGTCAATAGACATTCCGTAAAAACGTATGATAATTACGATGATATAAGTCAAAAGAAGCTATAACAATAAATTATATGACTAAAATCATTTCTAAATCTGTCAAATTCTCGATTTCTGCATGAAAAATGTGACAACGCTCTTAAAGAAACAGAACCAGTACTTTTTAGGAATCGTTTTTTTGAACACGAACCATGAAATTTGAATATTATCAATAAAAAATTGTTACAATAATATTTGTAATTAAAAAAAAACATGTTTTTTGTTAAATAACACCTATATAAAATATTTCTCTAAAAGTAGGTTTCACTACCTCTTCGAAAAAAATCGATAGATAAATCGCTATGGTTTAGTTATGTGACATCTCTAAATCTTTCAAACTCGAAACGTCATACGGATCATCTTAGGTGAAAAAGACTATAAATGTAAGTTGACTTAGACAGTCACCGAACTTTCTCAGGTTCTCTTTAGAGTAATCACGTCTAAAGGAGAACCAGTGATCAAATAAACAAGTCTTTTTTATTGGAACTGTCAAAAATTGGGCTTTATGATCAGATACTCCAAGCTCTATTAACTCACATCTAGCGTTACGAACGTTATGAAATACATTACAGTGACATAATTTATAAATACTTACTGGGGGCGGAAAAAAGCGCTTGTAAGCAAAATGGCGATCACTAAGCGGTAAGCGCTGCCATTATCATGTCACTGCTAAGAAATGAATGAAATACAGTATTGAAGTTTGCAAACGTGTCCTCGCCGAAACCTGCTGTAGCGGTCGCCATTTTGCTTACAAGCCCTTTTTTCCGCCAAACGCCCCCACTGACTTGATTACTGGTAATAATTATCTCGTAACTGTCACACTTCCGCTCCAAAGCCAGTCAGTACAGTCGATAGCGTATCAGACTATCTATACATTAGCTGATCATTTTGCAGCCGGCGCGTTCCTGTTGTTCGTCACCCTAAAATGAGCCTTATTGCAAGTGAATAAGGTACCTCGGTGTTGCGGTCGCTGTCGGACGCCAGCACGTCCATGCTCCAGGCCGACTCGCTGGCCGTCTCGGACGCGTCCGGCGCGTTTGTGTTGTCCGCGGTCGCTCTAGAATGAGCCTTATTGCAGGTGAATAAGGTACCTCGGTGTTGCGGTCGCTGTCGGACGCCAGCACGTCCATGCTCCAGGCCGACTCGCTGGCCGTCTCGGACGCGTCCGGCGCATTTGTGTTGTTCGCGTTCACACCTAAAAAGACAAGTATCAATGTACACTTATGACTATTTTTTTAACCAATCATAACCGGAAAACGCAGCGTGGGACGTCCACCCACAAGGTGGACCGACGACATCATAAAGGTAGCAGGAAGGCGCTGGACGCAGGCCGCTACCAACCGGGCAACATGGAAAGAATTTGGGGAGGCCTATGTTCAGCAGTGGACGTCCTATGGCTGAGATGATGATGAATCAAAACCTCCCCAACCTGTTTGGCCAGCATGAGGAGTATAGGCAAATCTTACATTTGTCTGGTGGTAAATTAGAGAGGGTCGTTTTCCTGCAGTGGAGACTAAATCTCAAGACAGACACTAGATCTGAAACGTGGTCGCTTACTATAGGCCTTATAAGAAGGCTCAAGGTCACCTAAAGGGCGATGGAGCGGGCTATGCTCAGTTTCCCTGCGTGATCGAATCAGAAATGAGGAGATCCGCAGGAAAACCAAAGTGACCGATATAGCCCGCAGAATTGCTAAAATCAAGTGGCAGTGGGCGGGGCACATAACTCGTAGAGATGGCCATTGGGGGAGAAAAGTTCTCGAGTGGCGACCACGACGAAGACGTAGCGTGGGTAGGCCTCCCACTAGGTGGACCGACGATTTGGTGAAGGTTGCGAGAAGAACCTGTATGCGGGCAGCGCAAGACTGGTCGTTATGGAAATCCTTGGAGGCCTTTGTCCAGCAGTGGACGTCATTTGGCTGATGCCCGTTTTCACTATCAATCCCTAATTTTTAAGTGACCCCTATGAAAAAAAATCCTTGTGTTACCATAGGAGTCACTTAAAAATTAGGGATTGGTGGTGAAAACGTGCATGTAAGGAACGAAAGCTATAATATATCTTACTCTGGTTGTGCTGCAGCTGCGTGTGGTCGCAGGAGTCGCCGATGGTCTCGGAGTCGGAAGCTAACACGTCGGTGCTCCACGTGTCCGACATTATGCTGATGGTCTCGTCGCCTTCCAGCAGCTTCTGTATTCACATAAATGATGATTAAATAAAATATAACTAACTAGCTTTTGCCCGCGGTTTCACCCGCGTGAAATTTAGTTTGACACAGATCATCATGAATTATAGCCTATATGTTGTTCTGGGTTGTAAACAATAATACTGTAAAGTTTCATCAAAATCCGTTCAGTAGTTTTTGCGTGAAAGAGTAACAAACATCCAGACATCCAAACATCCAGACATCCAAACATCCAGACATCCAAACTTTCACATTTATAATATTAGTAGGATTAGTTAATTAGGCGATTAGCAGCTGAAGTGGGAATGGACAGGGCAGAACTGACGGGCTGACGGCTGATGGGACAGCAAGGTTCTGGAGGTGAGGTGGACCGACGACCTCATAAAGGTAGCAGGAAGGCGCTGAACGCAGGCCGCTAGCGACCGGGCGATGTGGAAATCATTGGGGAAGACCTATGTTCATGAGTAGACGTTCTGTGGCTGGTTCTGTTCTAACGCTGACCCTTTCTTGAAACCAGCGGGTAAATCGCGTTCGTGCGGCACTATAACGGCGTCGTGTCGAGGTGATTGTTTATGTTCGCAAACGAAATTCCTAACGTGCAGACGCGCGGGCTGTTGGACCCGGTTTCCACCAAGGCAGAGCGGAGCTAAGAAATGTTTTGAACAACCAATAAGATGTCATTCAGATTGAATGAAATTGACAGAATGAAATCTAGTTATTTAAAAAAATCTCGGCTCTGTTCCGTCATGTAATGTTGATTATACGCAAATAATCTTGCCACTGCACTCCCGCGCCACTGCCTTAAGATGCGTTTCCACCAGAGATGTGCGAGGTTGCGTAGCCTCGCCTCGGTAAATGAAGCGATTCTATTGGTTCTTTACAAACACATCCCTCGCTACGCATCCTCGCACTTCTCTGGTGGAAACGCTGCCTAAACAAGTTACACAGAATATTCTAAATCACTGACTTCTCGACCTCTATCAAATATCTTACCTTGATCTCAAACTTGCAGAACTTATCATCGATGTCGTTGCGCGTCTGCTTCATCATCTTCGCCTGAGCGCTGCTCGGCTGATTCACGGGCGCGTTTTGTGGTAACCTAAGAAAAACAAATAATTTTATAGCTGAAAATACTCGTATTTAACACACGCACCATTTCCTGTAAAAACCATCCGATCATGTCGTTTTATTCTATCGCAAGAAAAAATGGAAATGCGTAGCTGGAGGTTCGCTGTGTTATGTTCTTACCCTTTTTTAAAATTACGTTTCCGTACTAAACGTCATCACTTTAAAACACTGTTCAACGAGCGTGTAAGTTTATTAGTGTTTGCATTTTGAATCTTTAAAAACAAGCGATTCCACCTTTTTTATATTATCTTTTATTCACACATTCATATCATTGTCTCCTTTCTACATCTATAAATCATATCACACATGTTCAGTCATTAATCAATCATTCACCTTTCTTACATCTTCCTCTAGAAATCAATCACCCATAATATTTACCTCCTAGGTGGAGCGTCGCCGTCAGTGACTTGGGACGAAGGAGTCTCACGGCCCGAAATGTTAGGGCTGCCGCGACCGCTCACGTTTGCCGATACCTGTGACAGACAAGTTAATATCTTCGTGATAAATGTATTTCTTAGGCTGATTTGCACCACCTAACTTTGACCGTAACTATAACGGTAACCGGTGTTTTTTGACAGATTTTTGACGTTTGTCGAAGTTAAAGTAAGATGGTGCAACCCAGCTTTATTTGTAAATAATTAACACGTTGTTCAATTAATCGAAAAATAAATCTAGAAATGCTATTCTGGCTAGGCGGGCAGGGTTGTGACTACTTCAGTTGTAAGCCAATCCAGATGTAAGCCTTTCTCTAGGAACATCACAAAGTACGATCTCCGTCGTTTCAACTCGATTGTACGATTCATGGTAGCGGACACTGAAGAGATACTTGTTTCGTTCGTTCGTTTCAGCCTAAAGATGTCCACTGCTGGACAAAGGCCTCCCCCAAGGATTTCCACAAAGACCGGCCCTGTGCCGCTCGCTTCTTTACTTTTATAAAAGTGTTTTGTTGTCAAACCCGTAATAGTGATAATTTATTTATAGTAAAAAAAAACCAAACGTTTAAAATATTATACGATCTCCGTTTCCGCACGGTCTCTCGAAGCATTTTTATGCGTGCATCGAAAGACCGGTGGTGCAAATTGTCCAGCAGAAGGTCGAAATTCGGTTGAACCTTGCTTACCATGTCGGACAGGTTGTCGTTCTGGTCCTCGGTCTCGAGCTCGAGGCTGGAGGTGACACTGTGGTTGGACGCCGCCTCCGAAACCGCCTCCAGGTTGTCCGACGTGTTGCCCAGCGATACCTCGTCGTGGGACACCGAGAAACTAGCGACAGAAGCAAGTTCATCACAAATCAAAGGTAATGTAAGACTTAAAACTCAAAAATATCAGGCTGTATCTTCTTCAGGGCCTCAGGTAATTATAGCGTGAGCGCCCGCACGCGTTTATTCAACGGAAGATAGTATAAGCAGCGTAGTATGGCGCGCATGCGTGTGACATTTCAACACGCGCGGTGGGAGGCGACCGTGCATTTCCGTGCTCCCGCGTAAGTTTTAGCGTACACCCTTAGGATGAGCCAAGAGGCTGACAACCGTGATTGACAGTTTCTACCACAGCTGATTTGTTATCCCGAAGCAACATTGGGGCGTAAATAGTAAATTCCTTGAAACAAGCTAATAATTTGAATTTGAGATCAAGATAAGAGTCAAGTCATGATAAGTTGTTAAAAAATGCATACCCTTACCAAAATTTTTCAAATTATTCCTATGCTAACAAAGATAATCTCATCATCATCATTTCAGCCATAGGACGTCCACTGCTGAAAATAGGCCTCCTCCAGTGATTTTAATAATGGTTGACCTTAGCCGGTTGGTAGCGGCCTGCATCCAGCGTCTTCCTGCTACCATTATGAGGTTGTCGGTCAACCTCTGTTGCTGTAGCAAAGATGTACCTATTCAAAATAAGCTATGTGCATACCGTGTCCGCTTCTGCACGGGCGCGCCGGGCCCGGGCGCCGCCAGCGCCGACGCGGCGTCGTCGGCGTCGCCCGCTTCCGACCCGCCGTAGTAGCACTCCAGAACTTTCGACTCGGGGACCATCCCTGTGCAGACAAAAATACACTTTAAGGCTAAAGAAGTATGCTAGGACATAAACAAATAGATTATGAAAACTTATCTGTCCATTCAGAGCACATTAACACACGAACACGATCCGTTTTATCGTATACGTTTAATTTCGGCGATAACATAATTATATAGTTCAAGGAAGTTTTAAATCAGTAAACTGGACTTTGAATCAGTATAATACAGTCATGTGTGCAATCTCGCTCATACAGCAGCGTCGCCAAAAAGTTGACAACACAACCTTCTTCCAATATTGTAACAAGACGTGTTGCGAGCTTTTTGGCTACTTTGGTTGTCATGAACTTATCTCACGATGACTACATACGCTACCGCCATTGACAAGCGCGCTGTCAGATGTCAGCACGGTTAACATTACATAAAACACACTTCAATCGACTTCGTTAGCCAGGAGTATGATCAGCACTTCTGGATGGTCTAGCGAGCTGTCAGTCTTGTCCACGCTGCCATTGACAGGGGTACTGTCAGTTGTCAGCGTCCCCTACTTAGTTCAAACGATGTATTGTCCACTCACCGACATAATCATGCTCCTCCACGTTAGCCAGGCGTATGATCAGCACCTCTGGATGGTCCAACGAGCTGTCAGTCTTGTCCACGCTGCCGTTGACAGGCGCACTGTCAGTTGTCAGCGCGGCCGCTGAACTGGACCGTGGTAGCCGCGGCTTCGGCACTTTGGCCAGTATGCCTCGTTTCCCGTAGCCATTCTCGATGATAACCTCTTTCGGCTCAGGTGGGGTGGTCGTTGGCCTTTGAAAAAAAGAGTTACGTTAGTAACATTTATTTCACATAATTTGGACCATTCATATACTGTAAGTGTACTTGTATTTTTGACAGAAACACAAGCTGCAACCCAACCGCCACAGTGTGTAGTTATTTTGTCACCTGTCATCCGCTTAACTTTGAACTTCTCCTATGTTCTTCCGATTAATTTCGTTGCAGGTCTAACAACAGTTTTGCAGCAGTGATACTAGGACTTTATTGAACTAGAATAGCCGCTCAACACAAATAAAAAATAAATAAATAAAAAAAAACAACAGTTTAACTTTCCTCCGGGACAAGCTTGACCTTAACTGATTGGGTTTTTATTGGCGGTCAAGCTGTAGATCCTGGCTACACAGGAGTTACAGCGATGGGAACGAGAGGTGTGAATAGTCCCGGACAGTGTGTTGGATAGTCCCCGACAGTGTGTTGGATAGTCCCGGACAGTGTGTTGGATAGTCCCCGACAGTGTGTTGGATAGTCCCGGACAGTGTGTTGGATAGTCCCCGACAGTGTGTTGGATAGTCCCGGACAGTGTGTTGGATAGTCCCCGACAGTGTGTTGGATAGTCCCGGACAGTGTGTTGGATAGTCCCCGACAGTGTGTTGGATAGTCCCGGACAGTGTGTTGGATAGTCCCCGACAGTGTGTTGGATAGTCCCGGACAGTGTGTTGGATAGTCCCCGACAGTGTGTTGGATAGTCCCGGACAGTGTGTTGGATAGTCCCCGACAGTGTGTTGGATAGTCCCGGACAGTGTGTTGGATAGTCCCCGACAGTGTGTTGGATAGTCCCGGACAGTGTGTTGGATAGTCCCCGACAGTGTGTTGGATAGTCCCGGACAGTGTGTTGGATAGTCCCCGACAGTGTGTTGGATAGTCCCGGACAGTGTGTTGGATAGTCCCCGACAGTGTGTTGGATAGTCCCGGACAGTGTGTTGGATAGTCCCCGACAGTGTGTTGGATAGTCCCGGACAGTGTGTTGGATAGTCCCTCACAGCGTGTTGGATAGTCCCGGACAGTGTGTTGGATAGTCCCGGACAGTGTGTTGGATAGTCCCGGACAGTGTGTTGGATGGATAGTCCCGGAAAGTGTGTTGGATAGTCTCTCACAGTGTGTTGGATAGCTCCTGCTGTGGAGACTGACCTGCTGCCACGACTCACCGGTAGTTGCTGAGGTCGGGCATCTTCCGCAGCAGGTCGTGCAGGCGGCTGCGGTAGTTCGGCTCTAGCGTCTGAAGCAGCGCGGCCAGCGGGCAGCGCACGCCTCCTGGATAGCTCCTGAGACTGACCTGCTGCCGCGACTCACCGGTAGTTGCTGAGGTCGGGCATCTTCCGCAGCAGGTCGTGCAGGCGGCTGCGGTAGTTCGGCTCTAGCGTCTGAAGCAGCGCACCCAGCGGGCAGCGCACGCCTCCTGGATAGCTCCTGAGACTGACCTGCTGCCGCGACTCACCGGTAGTTGCTGAGGTCGGGCATCTTCCGCAGCAGGTCGTGCAGGCGGCTGCGGTAGTTCGGCTCTAGCGTCTGAAGCAGCGCGGCCACGCGGGCAGCGCAAGCTTCCGACCACGGCGCGCCGTGCTCGGGACTCGACTCGCCACTACAATGTTTTGAATACTTGTGAACACAGATATAATTCATTGTACTAAGTCAAATGTCAAGTCTGTTAATTTTCTTTCAAGCTAAAAAAATTACAAACATATCATATAGCATGATGGAATATTATAGCTACAGGAACAGAAAAAAAATCAACGCCATTAATAAAACAAGGATGTATTCATACCTTGACCCAGCAGCTTCGGACACATTTCCATTGGGTTGTTCATCAGCAGTCAAACTTGGAGTGTTGTTGTTTAGTTTCGACGATATCCGCCTCAAGAACATTATCTACAAACGTAAAAAAAATACTTCAATACAAGTCATTAAATATTTGAGAACATTTTTACGTATCTGCAGTAGTTAATGAACTTGCGTTGTCTCATAAATCGCCTTTACAGCCTGTTATTAAAAACAATAGGCTGACGATATATGCCGATGAGATCGCCGAGTTCAGGGCTTTTGAGCATTAGCGTATCTAGGGTTATTTTTCAAGGCCCTGGTCCCTGATTGCCATGTCGCTGTTGGGTGACTAGTATAATAGATATACTTGCATGTTGAGTATGCCGCTGGATATAGACCTCCCGCTATGTCAGCAGGTGTGCACCGCTATCTATGCCAGCAGTCATGTCGCCCACGACTGGTCCAGCAGCGCCCGCGCGCACAGCGCTCGGCGGGCGGCCGGCGCACAGCACTCACCAGCTCGTGCGCGTCGTGCGCAGTGAACAGCGCCACGGTGGTGTGCAGCAGTGCGTCGGTGCGCACAGCGCTCGGCGGGCGTGCGGCGCACAGCACTCACCAGCTCGTGCGCGTCGTGCGCAGTGAACAGCGCCACGGTGGTGTGCAGCAGCGCGTCGGTGCGCACAGCGCTCGGCGGGCGTGCGGCGCACAGCACTCACCAGCTCGTGCGCGTCGTGCGCAGTGAACAGCGCCACGGTGGTGTGCAGCAGCGCGTCGGTGCGCACAGCGCTCGGCGGGCGTGCGGCGCACAGCACTCACCAGCTCGTGCGCGTCGTGCGCAGTGAACAGCGCCACGGTGGTGTGCAGCAGCGCGTCGGTGCGCACAGCGCTCGGCGGGCGTGCGGCGCACAGCACTCACCAGCTCGTGCGCGTCGTGCGCAGTGAACAGCGCCACGGTGGTGTGCAGCAGCGCGTCGGTGCGCACAGCGCTCGGCGGGCGTGCGGCGCACAGCACTCACCAGCTCGTGCGCGTCGTGCGCAGTGAACAGCGCCACGGTGGTGTGCAGCAGCGCGTCGGTGCGCACAGCGCTCGGCGGGCGTGCGGCGCACAGCACTCACCAGCTCGTGCGCGTCGTGCGCAGTGAACAGCGCCACGGTGGTGTGCAGCAGCGCGTCGGTGCGCACAGCGCTCGGCGGGCGTGCGGCGCACAGCACTCACCAGCTCGTGCGCGTCGTGCGCAGTGAACAGCGCCACGGTGGTGTGCAGCAGCGCGTCGGTGCGCACAGCGCTCGGCGGGCGTGCGGCGCACAGCACTCACCAGCTCGTGCGCGTCGTGCGCAGTGAACAGCGCCACGGTGGTGTGCAGCAGCGCGTCGGTGCGCAGCGCGGAGGGCGGCGCGGGCGCGGAGGGCGCGGGCGCGCACGTGTCGCCCACGACTGCGTCCAGCAGCGACCACACGCAGGACCGCTCGAATTTCGCGTACACGTCGCGGACTTTCGCCTCCACCTGCCAAATGTATAGGAACGATGAGGTTTAAGACACTACGCGGGAATTCCGTGCTGGGAAATGCGCGATAGAAAATGAAATTAAAACGCGCGGAGGGCGCGGGTGTGCAAGTTTCGGACACCACGGCTTACAGTAGCGACCACACGCACGAGCGCTCAAACTTGGCGACGTCGCAGACTTTCGCCTCCACCAGGTCGATGGTAAGGGAACGATGAAGTTTGAATCACTTTACGCGGCAATTCTGTACCGGAAAATGCGCAATGAAAAATGGAAATTAAATGTGCGGAGGGCGCGGTCGCGCAAGTGTCGCCCACCACGGCGTCTAACAACGACCACACGCGCGAGAGCTCGAATTTGGCGTACACGTCGCGGACTTTCGCCTCCACCTGTCAAATGTATGGGAACATTACGCAGGAATTCCGTGGCAGAAAATGGGCGATGGGCTTCTACATGTAATCAAATAGGTAGGTAGGTTTGGCTGAAATTATTGGGCTTTGTTAATGCTGCGTCGAATCAAATAAATCATCATAAATACAGGGTGGAAACGATAAGTGATCTCACTCGATTATTTCTAAACTATACGAGATATCCAAAAACTGGTTACTGATCCTGAAAGTGCTTTACGAGCTCTATCCAACGGAACCAATAATAGGTTACAAAATAAACTGTATCTATCCGAAAATTCAATGTTTCCAGCTTCCATACATTTAGTAAAACCACATAATAATAAAAATAACACAAGATATCCAGAAACTGGTTATTGATCCTGAAAGTGCTCCACGAGCTCTATCTAAAGGTACCAATAATAAGTTACAAAATAAACTGGAGCTATCCGAAAATTCAATATTTCCAGCTTCCATACATTTAGTACTGCCACAGTCATAGCACTCATGTCTTGATAATATTTTAGCATTTTTAGCAAACAAAGCCTGAAACCAATGTTTTCCATTAATAATTTTAAATAAAAATGCATTACGAGTTCATTCTAAGTGTGGCTGGCATACATTTAGTATGGAGGCTGGAAACATTGAATTTTCGGATAGATCCAGTTAATTCTGTAAACTATTACTGATGCCGTTTGAAAGAGCTCGTGAAGCACTTTCAGGATCAGTAACCAGTTTTTCGATATCTTGTCTTGTTTAGAAATAATCGAGTGAGATCACTTAACGTTTCCACCCTGTAGATAGAAGGCAGTAAAATATGGTCATGTCGCTAGAGCGTAAGCATAAACTTTTGAATTAAATTTGACAGCCTCTAGCCACGCCCATTTATCTATCTATCCATATGGCTATCGTATCGTCCATTGTCTGTCAACAAAACTAAGGGCCTTGCTACACTGGCGGATTGCAAGATCCCGCGATCGCCAAAATGCTTGCAAAATGCCGCGGCGTCTCCGACGCGGACGCGCGGCGCAGCTGCTCCGCCCAGAAGACGCTTGCGATTCGCCAGTGTGGCAAGACCCTAAAGTAGTTTTCTTAAATTGTGTATCACGTTTACATAATGACACCAAGATATTATCGAAGCACTTAACCATAAAGGCCACCAAAACTCCATCACGTACCTCCTGGTACCGCATAAGGCACAGCACAGTCCCGGGTTCGATTCCCAGTTGGGGCAGATTTTTCTGTTCGGTTTGGTTGGTGGTAGGGCTTGTCTAAGTCCGCCTGGCTGTTGCTGTCGCGCTCGCACACTCACTGCGGGCGCGCGTCGCACAGTCGCGACAGCAATATAATTACGCGCGAGCGACAAGGATGGGTAGCTTGGGGTCATTGGACAAAATTCTACGTGCTCACGGACCAGGCTTTAGCTACCACCATCTTACCTAATTCTGTCGCCATAACAACAATGTAACAGCATTGTTGTGTTCCGGCAGTTAGAGGTAAGATAGCCAGTTTCTCCGTGGTTGACGATTCCGGGTGAAGCTCGCTTCCACCTTCAGCTTGATCATCACTTACCATCAGGTGAGATACAGGCCAAGAGCTTCTTCGTGGATAAAAAAGTACATAACACCACACAAACGCTACCAAAACTTCATCACTTACCTCTTGATACCTCATGAGGCACAGCATCTGCACGATCTGCGCGATCTGGATGAGGTTGAACCGCGCGATGTAGGACACGGGCACGTCCACCACGCCGTGCGTCTCCGGGTTCACGATCGCCGGGCAGATGAAGTGCTGACGAGCTCCGTGCAGATCGCGCTCGCTTGTATTTATCCAAGTACCGCCTCTGTGGTCTAGTGGTAAGACCACCTGCTTTAGACGCAGAGGTCCCGGGTTCGATTCCCAGTGGGGGCGGATTTTTCTGATCGGTTTGGTTGGTCGTAGGGCTTGTCTAAGCCCGCCTGGTTAGCTACCACCATCTTACCTAAGTCTGTCGCCATAACAACAATGTTAACAGCATTGTTGTGTTCCAGTATAGTCTGGTCCGTGAGCATGTAGAATTTTGTCCAATGACCCCAAGCTACCCATTCTTATCGCTCGCGCGTAATTATGTTGCTGTCGCGCTCGCACATTCACTGCGGGCGCGCGTCGCACAGTCGCGACAGCAATATAATTACGCGCGAGCGATAAGGATGGGTAGCTTGGGGTCATTGGACAAAATTCTACGTGCTCACGGACCAGGCTTTAGCTACCATCATCTTACCTAATTCTGTCGCCATAACAACAATGTAACTGCATTGTTGTGTTCCGGCAGTTAGAGGTAAGATAGCCAGTTCCTCCGTGGTTGAGGATTCCGGGTGAAGCTCGCTTCCACCTTCGGCCTGATCATCACTTACCATCAGGTGAGATACAGGCCAAGAGCTTCCTCGTGGATAAAAAAAAAGTACATAACACCACACAAACGCTACCAAAACTCCATCACGTACCTCCTGGTACCGCATAAGGCACAGCATCTGCACGATCTGCGCGATCTGGATGAGGTTGAACCGCGCGATGTAGGACACGGGCACGTCCACCACGCCGTGCGTCTCCGGGTTCACGATCGCCGGGCAGATGAAGTGGTGTAGCACGAGATCCGTGCAGATGGCGTGTAGCTCGCGCTCGCTTGTTCTGGACAGATAAGTTCAGTCGGTAAAACCAGAGTAAATACAAATGAGTAGGTCATCTTCATAGAAACGCCCGAGCGTGGTTTGTATGTGAGCGCGCGCCAATACGTTTGCGGCGCGCACGCACACACTGACAAAATCCGGCGCAACTCCCCGCTAATCCACGCTAAATTTTGTCAGTGTGTGCGTGCGCGCCGCATACGAGGGGCGGCTGAAAAGTTTTGAGCCTAAGGTATTAAAAATGCCGATAGAAAAGTATAAATAATATATTTTTCTATTTAATCTGCCTCTACTACAACGCACTTCTTACATTTGTGTAAAAGAGCTTTTAACTCACTGAAAAAAAATTCGCAAACTTTGCCTTCGAAATGATCCTCTAACGACGCCTTCATTTCTTTGTCACTTAAAAATCTTCGTTCCTGGAGGTCATTTGTCCAAATTGAGAATTAGAAAAAAAAGCTAAGGATTTGGACTAAACTGTATGGTAGGTGATTAATTTCTTGAAATCCAGTTTTACCCGGGGCAAGTCTTGCAACATGCGCGGTGTGCACGGGCGAATTGTCGTGCAATAACAGATTTCATTTCGCCAGTTTAGCTCTTATTATTTCGACAACCACTTGACGCACTCTTATCAACATTACAGTAAAATAATCCCCGTTTATTGTAGTTTTTTTTAAAGTAGGTAGTCAATGAATAAAATTCCTCCACAATCCCAAAAATAGTGGCTATGAGCTTGGGTGTCGATCGCTCCACTTTGAATTTCCGCGGCGGCGTTTTCCCTTTTCAATCCATTGCATTGACTCTTGTTTTGACTCTAAATCGTACTGCTGAATTTATTATTTATCAATAGTGACAATGTGAGAAAAAAAATTGTTAGGATTAAGGCCAAAGATGTCCCAAAACTCCTGCGAAGTTGTGACTCGACGCTGTTTGTCGAGTGGCGTGAGCATTTTTGACACCCATCGCGCACACCCCTTTTTCATGTGCAAATGAGTATGAAAAATATTGCCGATACGTTCTTTGCTAATGCCTATGGCTTCAGCTATCTGTCACAGCTTAATTCGCGGATCTCTAGAGCAAGATTCTTTAACTTTTCATTATTTTATTCGTTAATGGCGAAATCTGGCCGTCCTGACTTGCGGTCATCTTTTAGCGACTCCCTGCCATGATTGAATTATCGGATTCAATCTTTCATGGTGGCAAATGAAGGCCCAGACTCCCCATAAACTGTTGACATCTCTTCAAATATTACCGTCAGCGTTTTGTTCTTCTTTGTGAGGCATTTTATGACAACTGTGTACTTCAATTTCGTACATTGCGCGGATGACTGAGACATGATGATGTTTACGGATTAATTACTAAAAGCGTGATGATGCTAATAAAATGAAACTTTGTACATATACTAAGGAGGTTATTGGCAAATTAATAAAATTTAGTGCGAGTCAATAATAACACTTGAAGATACTTAGGCTCAAAACTTTTCAGCCGCCCCTCGTATATACTGGCGCGCTCCCATACAAACCGCGCTCGGGCGTTTCTATGAAGATGACCTACTCATTTGTATTTACTCTGGTAAAACTTTAGGCTTCTTTCTTCTATGGTATGGGATGTAAGAACCCGGCTAGGAAGCGCGCCGCACGACAAACGTATGGGCCTATCGCATAAGCAGTAAATGGCGCGATAAATGCTTATCGCGGCGCGCATTCTAGGCCTCTAGACAAACATGACGAGCCACCTTACGCGTCTGAAATAGCTGAAGCGGACCTATAGACGACTTAATGTGCCTTTCGAAAGAGTCATCATATTTATTTCGGACATGTTCATATAAGCCTGTACCTAATAAAGAATAAAGAATATTATCTATATAAATAAAAATGAATTTCTGTTCGTTAGTCTGATTAAAACTCGAGAACGGCTGGGCCGATTGAGCTGATTTTGGTTTTAAAATGTTTGTCGTAGTCCAGGGTAGGTCTAAACGGTGAGCAATACGCGCGCGATATTGTTTTTCTGTGACAGACAAAATTCCACGCGGGCGAAGCCGCGGGCGGAAAGCTAGTAAAGAATAATAAAGATTGCACACAAAATGATTTAAAAGACGTGGGTGGGATACACTTTAAATCAAACCCAAAATCGATGTTCACTTACTACTAGAGCCATATAAAGATAAATAAAACAAGAAGACTTTAAAATCAAACGAAGAGAATGGTTGACTAAACATACCTGGAATGTTGTTTGAGCAGGTGTACAGTCTGCTGCACGATCCAAGCTATGGTGGAGGGAAAGTTGGGCCAGTGCTCCCGCAGCGAGGCTATGAACTTGCTGGTCAGGTTGTACAGCGACTGAACAGTCCACTTGCGGTAGCGGGCCACTTTGGATGTGTACTCCGCGCTGTTGGTCTGCCCGAACTTCTTGAGACGGTCTGATGGGGAGAACCTGGTAAGATGAATTAGTGAGGTTATTGCTTGTTGCTCGTTGTTAAAATACTAGCATGTAAAACCAAACTTCACTTCGCATTTACATGCGCTTGGAACTTCGGTTAACTTCACGCCACACGTCACTACTTGTTTGCTATGAACTGTTTTGTTTCTTTTTTTTCAAAATTACTATTATTAGAGGCCGGTCGATCTATTCTCATAAATAAAACACTGGATACATCTTTCACATTATATTGCCTTAATTTAGATACAATTCATCACTTAGCACAAAAGCGCGCGGAGTCATCTCCGCGCGTCCCTCTCTTCTGACGTTTTATGCTAGCGTGACATTGACGTATTGTCAATGTCACTATGACAGCATTTCACTGGCCACAACGATACCGTTATTTTAACGTTTTAGATTTCTCATAATTAACACTATAAATACTTTTTTTAACGCCGCATATCAACGCCCGAGGAGGATCATCTACTGAAGAATAGCTTCAAACTGAAGGCCACATTAGTCTCCATCGCCTTATCAGGGTCGACAGCCAGGAAGAACTCGTCTTCCAACAGCAAGGCCATGACCGGGCCCTGCCCGAATTGGAACGCTCACAACCAAACCAACGCGATCATAGGCGAATGACAGGTCGCGCGACCTATCATTGGTCACAGATCCTGTCCCAGGTCGCGCGTTTGGTTGAAGCTTTAGGAAAAAGAAATTATCGACCATGACTTATCGGCTAATTACCTCTCCATCGCTTTATCAGGGACGACATCCAGGAAGAACTCGTCAAAAACTGCCGCGCCGGCGTGTGACTGTCGTGGAACACGCCGTATAGCGACACCCGAGGGGTATCATGTGCTGATCTGATGTATAGCTTCAGACTGAAGGCTATATTACCTCTCCATCGCCTTGTCAGGGTCGACATCCAGGAAGAATTCGTCTTCCAACAGCAAGGCCATGACCGGGCCCTGCCCGAATTGGAACGCTCACATATACGAATTTTATTCCTTAAGCTTCAACTAAAACAAGGCGTGCAGATCGCTATCGCCGACGCGATCATAGGCGAATGACAGATCGCGCGACCTGTCATTGGTCACAGGTCGCGCGTTTGGTTGAAGCTTTAGGACAAAGAAATTATCACCCATGTATCGGCTACATTACCTGTCCATTGCTTTATCAGGGTCTACGTAAAGGAAGAACTCGTCTTCCAACAGTACGGCCATGACCGGGCCCTGCCCGAATTGGAACGCTCACATATACGAATTTTATTCTTAAGCTTCAACCAAACCAACGCGTGCAGATCGCCATCGCCGACGCGATCATAGGCGAATGACAGGTCGCGCGACCTATCATTGGTCACAGATCCTGTCACAGGTCGCGCGTTTGGTTGAAGCTTTAGGAAAAAGAAATTATCGACCATGACGTATCGGCTAATTACCTCTCCATTGCTTTATCAGGGTCCACATCCAGGAAGAACTCGTCTTCCAACAGCACGGCCATGACCGGGCCTTGCAGCGCCGCCGCCAGAAACTGCCGCGCCGGCGTGTGACTGTCGCGGAACACGCCGTATAGCGACGATAATGCGCATTTGCCCGTGCGGAACAATCTGGAACAAATCAAATCAATTGTTATTAAAACCACAGAATAAAAATAAGTACTACGTACAGAAGTTTTACTTCGCGAAGGTATTTAAAAAAATGTATGCTCAATGTCATTAACAATATGGTGTAATTTAGCCTGTCTCAAGAGTCAAACACCATTTTGTTGACAAACGTCAGTGATCGGCATTGCGCCAAAGCTATAGGGCTGACTTCGGTAAAATGATGTGACGTAAGATGCCAAACTGCGGAAAATGACGGAGGAAATACATGATTTAGCATGAATTATCATGAATAATATTAACTACTTATTTACCTCTCAGTGTCTTGAGGCAACTTAAAAAAGTACATTCTGAGGAGCCACCATGATTACGCTGGTGTAGCAGCGCGCTAACACAATGGATGAAACAGTCGAAAAAAAAGTCGTGGGTTCGATTCCCGCCTTAGACAGTTCGATTTTATTCAAGTTATTTTCAAATAATTTAATTTATTCTGTACGTAGGCCTTTTCTAGGGCATTTGTACATGTCCCAAATATAGCTTGCCCTACCACATATGAGTTGTGGCAAAGCATTGATAAAGTTGAATGGTTGCGTAAAATATGTATATGCGGCGTAAGGCAGCAACCTTTTGACGATAATAAAGTGCTATCACACAGTCCAGTTATGAATGGCACGTGTTTAATCGGGTAGGGGGATTGATTGAGGATGGTTTAGATTGGGGCTTATGTTCCTGGCGAGTAGCATATTTATCTTAAAACATATCTGTAGTTTGAATTTAATATAAGTCATATTATTCAATAAGTAGTATGAAATAACTTACTTTTTCGGATCGTTAGACGGCGCCAGCTGGTGTTTGATCAGCGACCGGATGACGCTCAGCAACCGGGTCCTATCTGACGTAGAACGCGCGCTTCCATACAGCCCGGATATGAGCGCCACGGGTAGCGATGGGGGCATATGCTCCTCTCCCAAGAGAATAGCAGCGCTTCGAGTAGCAGAAGAATCTTTGCGATAACTTACTTTTTCGGGTCGTTAGACGCGCCAGCTGGTATTTGATCAGCGACCGGATCACGCCCAGCAACCGGGTCCTATCCTATCTGACGTAGAGCGCGCGCTTCCGTAGAGCCGGGATGTGAGCGCAGGGGGCATGTGCTGCTTTCCTAAGACAATACCAGCGCTTCGAGTAGCAGAAGCATCCTTGAAGTAACTTACTTTTTCGGATCGTTAGACGGCGCCAGCTGGTGTTTGATCAGCGACCGGATCACGCCCAGCAACCGGGTCCTGTCTGACGTGGAGCGCGCGCTTCCATACAGCCCGGATATGAGCGCCACGGGTAGCGATGGGGGCATATGCTCCTCTCCGAAGAGAATAGCAGCGCTTCGAGTAGCAGAAGCATCCTAAAGCTGTTTTAATAGTCTTTGGTAGGAAATAACTTACTTTTTCGGATCGTTAGACGGCGCCGGCTGGTGTTTGATCAGCGACCGGATCACGCCCAGCAACCGAGTCCTGTCTGACGTGGAGCGCGCGCTTCCATACAGTCCGGATATGAGCGCCGCGGGTAGCGATGGGGGCATGTGCTCTTCTCCCAAGAGAATAGCAGCGCTTCAAGTAGCACAAGCATCCTAAATCTGTTTTAAGTCTTTGGTAGGAAATAACTTACTTTTTCGGGTCGTTCGACGGCGCCAGCTGGTGTTTGATCAGCGACCGGATCACGCCCAGCAACCGGGTCCTGTCTGATGTGGAGCGCGCGCTTCCATACAGCCAGGATATGAGCGAAGCGGATAGCCACTGGGGCATCTGCTCTTCTTCTAGGAGAATACCAGCGCTTCGAGTAGCAGAAGAATCTTTGCGATAACTTACTTTTTCGGGTCGTTAGACGGCGCCAGCTGGTGTTTGATCAGCGACCGGATGACGCCCAGCAACCGGGTCCTATCCTATCTGACGTAGAGCGCGCGCTTCCGTAGAGCCGGGATGTGAGCGCAGGGGGCATGTGCTGCTTTCCTAAGACAATACCAGCGCTTCGAGTAGCAGAAGCATCCTTGAAGTAACTTACTTTTTCGGATCGTTAGACGGCGCCAGCTGGTGTTTGATCAGCGACCGGATCACGCCCAGCAACCGGGTCCTGTCTGACGTGGAGCGCGCGCTTCCATACAGTCCGGATATGAGCGCCGCGGGTAGCGATGGAGGCATGTGCTCTTCTCCTAAGAGAATAGCAGCGCTTCGAGTAGCAGAAGCATTCTAAAGCTGTTTCAATAGTCTTTGGTAGGAAATAACTTACTTTTTCGGATCGTTAGACGGCGCCAGCTGGTGTTTGATCAGCGACCGGATCACGCCCAGCAACCGGGTCCTATCCTATCTGACGTAGAGCGCGCGCTTCCATAGAGCCCGGATATGAGCGCCGCGGGTAGCGACGGGGGCATATGCTCCTCTCCCAAGAGAATAGCAGCGCTTCGAGTAGCAGAAGCATCCTTGAGGTAACTTACTTTTTCGGGTCGTTAGACGGCGCCAGCTGGTGTTTGATCAGCGACCGGATCACGCCCAGCAACCGGGTCCTATCTGACGTGGAGCGCGCGCTTCCATAGAGCCCGGATATGAGCGCCGCGGGTAGCGATGGGGGCATGTGCTCTTCTCCTAAGAGAAGGCACAATGCGACGAGGTGCGGCGAGTCGCGCAGCCATCCTAGGAGCTCGCCTAGGGCTGTCGCTTCCTGCGGATTACAGAGCTGTTTTATTTGTCTACCCACAAATTGATATAAAGTAGGTAAATTCCCGAATTACGGCGCGCGCGCACGTATTTGTCACTGTGTCAAAATCTCTATCTTATTCTCTTTATAATGGTGTAAAAGAAACACGGAATAGACTTTCACGGCGACAAAAAAGTCACCCATGCGCGCACGCTCTTAGAACCTTTAGGGTAGCCTTTCGAACTAAGCGTCACAGACGCAGCGTCTTTAGCTTTGGTCTTATAGGTAGCCTTTCGAAGCGAGTTAGTGACGCGGCGTTAGTGGCACAAGACCAAAGCTAAAGACGCTGCGTCTGTGACGCTTAGTTCGAAAGGCTACCTTTACATAGAGGAATTTTAGCATAATCCTTAGCATAAAAATTACCGACCATCTAACTAACGAATGAACGAATAATAAAGAAAGATTCACATAACAACATTGGGAGAGACATTTGTATGAGACTGTAAACAGGATCGAGCAAGTACCGGGGGGTGCCTCAAATACAAACGAGGGCATATTCCCACTGTCCCCCATTGGCGGATATCGCAATTTTGTTTCCCGATGTCTGCCAGTGGGGAACAAATGGCAATATACGTAAACACGTATGACCCTCGCATGTCACGTGATTATGTTTTATCTTTTTCTTATTTCTGAATTTTAAATCTATGCAAGCTTTTAATGCATCTTTGCAACTTTACTTTCTCTCACTTACAATATTGAATAGATCACTTATTCAAATTGGAATGAAAGCAAACCAGTTATTAATTCTTATATCTTCCTTACATAAATGGTACATACAAACTCTTTGAATGCAGTAATACATTTTACTGTACTGCAACAAAACAAAGCATCCAGTTACACGCCAGTTTAAGAGAGCCATTGTTTGCGTGCATGAGGTGTCACATTAAACATGAGATGCCTCATCATTATTGTAATACTTTAAACAAGTAATGGTCAGGCTGGTTGTCTGTTTGTGTAGTTTAGGCACTAAAGCCGGGTCTCCAGTACATGTTTTGCCCTACACAATCAACAAAAACATTCAACATTCAACAAAATTGTCTACTAATTTTGTCTAGTACTATGGCTGAATAAACAACCAAAAAATTCTAATTAATTTCCTAGTAAGAAGATAATAATTATGATAAATGGAACTAAAGCCATTTCTACTTCTTCAAACTTTATGCTATTCCTTGCTGGATTCACCTATCTTTTTTCGTGTTAAAATTTTAAGCCTTTAATGGGCATAAATAACATCAAAATATTTTTTTGGACCTTCGGACAAGGCAATAAAGTTCAAAATATCAAAATCAAAAATATTATTTGGTTTAGACCACAAGTGGCACTTATGGTGGGAACTCTATTCCCAATGCCATATAAAGGGTTAAATAAAAACTGCATCTATTACAACATTATAATATGTGATTGCATAATCAGTTTGGGAGAGTTTAACCTCTGTCAAGCCAGATGAATGCCTCATTCGGCTGATAGTGTAACAAATGACATAATAATTACTTTTCCTTATTCATGCTTGGCTGGCTGCATTCTCCTTTATGTAACACATTTCACTTGCTGTACAACAATATTCTGGTATGGTCAGAAGTGGGTAGATACATTAAATGAACAAAGCAAAATTTCCTTAAGTACTATAAAAAGGCATGAAAACCTTAATATTTAGTTATTTATAATAAATAACTCTATTTAACAATGTATTTATTCAAAATTATCTTTCTATACATTATAATTCTAGACATTTGAATATAAATTAGGTTGTCACAGAAATTCTTCTAAAGAATTATGCATTCATTAGCATTATTTAAATAGGTATGCAACGATCTAATTTTTGTGGTGACATTCAATATCTAGTTTACAAAACAAGAAAGTTTCTACTTTCATTCATATTTTAATCTTTGGATGATGAATTTAAATTCAAGTATAAAAGATATTAATAGAGATTTTGATAGAAAAAAAAGAAATAAAAAAACTCTTTATCTTAGGAAAGCCTGGTGTGGAAGTCAATGGAAGATTTTAATTGTTATTAAAATACCTAAAATGTGCATATTGTAAATTAATGTAACAAAATTATAAAGAACTTCATAAAAAGTTCCTCCGTTTCCATTTAAAACAGTGATAGGTCACTTATCTTCTTCAATGACTAATCGTTTACATTGAAAAAGTGGGTGGATAATGAAGGTAACATAACCTTTAGTACCAATTGTTAAAACTGAAACAACGATTCTCGGCAAGTCAAATCTATGTCATGGATAATCACAGAGATAAAATATGTAAACACTTGAGTAATTAGGCATTCAGATACTTGGTTAATTATGCTATGAAAATAGAATTTTATGTCTTGAACAATATCTTGATTTAAATGCCACGACTATGATAATCACTAAAGCAGTAATATTATTTTCTTTCTTCTTCTTCTTAATATTATAATAAATCTTGAGAGCAATATGTTTTCTTTGAAATTAATATTAAAGCAACTGAAATAATAACAATAATAATGCAGAGACAACCAAAACAACTGGTGTTTTACTTGACTTTTAGTTAGCACCCAGTAGAATTTTACTATAAATTTTATAAACCCTGGAATATACACCTACCTTGTACTTCAAGACTTTGAAAACATCCACAAAAGTAGTCCTTTCAAGCAAACTTGCTCTCTGGCAAGCAGCTATAGAATCTGCCTCACATCTTGAAGTGATCAAGTTGGTGAGGTTCTGGCGCTGCTGCAAGCACACCCAAGACACCTGCAGCAACTCCAATGCCTTCTTCTCAACCTCTTCATTGAGATTTTGCAACAGCTGTCGTTCGGAATTAATAAATATCTTCTCTCTCCTCAATTGATTTGCTAACTCTGCTATGTTCATACATCCTTCCGACGTAGACTGCATCATTATTGAATTCAACTACACATTTATCAGTAAACACATATCGTTTGTAAAATGTTTGTAATTGTATTTTTCACGTCATTTTAGTAATTTCCATTTCAAGGAAATCTTGTTTCCGACAACACTTTCGCACATAAAACCATTTCAAAGTTTTTCAACTAAAAACTTATTATTTTTGATTTATTTAAATGTGAAAATAATCAAAGATACAATCTTTTAATCGCAAAGCACAAAAAATAATGGTATTCGAGAGGTAAAATCGCGAAATGAATGAAGATATTTCCGCTGTCTCAAATGAAACAAAATGAAAGCAAAGTAAATACAAAAATAAAATGACAAGCTATCAGCCAATCAAAAGGTTGAACGAACTCATTGTGACAGAGACATCGACCTATATCAAACTGAGGGCGATTTTTTGTCGTTGTACTTGCCGTTGCATTATTTTTTATTGAGAAAACCATAGAGAAAACTAAATTTTTATTGAATGAATGATTGAATGTCTGTCATTTTTGGCACAGATTACGAATTTACTAAAGAACGAATGAAAATGGTTGACGAAAGAAATCCTTGGACTGCTGTTCTTTTCATTGTAATTTTGTGTAAATAGAATTTGGATGTTTGTTTTGTAATAAGTACTTAAATGTGATTAGTGTGTAACTAAAATATAATAATGTCTAATAGTACAATAGAAAAAAAATTGAAGGGGTTAGAGGAGCGGTTCGAAAACGAAATGCGTATTCAAAGAGAGGGTGGCATCCACAATCAAGGTGGACTTGGGGCTTCCAGGCCCGGGAGCGGCCGGAGACCAAGGCCTCGTAAGCATACTCATGATTAATTCTGCATCACATAATTTATTGATAAGGTTTCTCATTATCCTGAATGATCCAGTGTCCTTACCCTGTATCCTGGTCTACATCTCTCTTATTGCCTCTAGATTGAGATTACTAACTTCTTTATACAATCCTCAAGGGATTCTGTGTGCTCGATGTCTTCATTGACGCATTTAAAGGTGATTATTTGATGAACAACTTATTCAATGGAGGGGTTACTCTGCTGTTCTTGTAATGCAGACAATATTGACTCCTTTTCCCTCCCCTATGCTCGCCTGTGTACACATTGCACCCTATTCTCTAATGTGTCTGACAGCCAGTAAAATTTATTCAATAGGTTTCATTTATTGAGCTGTATTTGAGTTGCTGTTTTCATTTAATTTTTGTGACCCTTATTATGATGAACAGCAAGTAATTCTAAACCTAATGTGTATCTTATTGGATCCTATGATATTAGACTTTAGCTAGCTATTCATATAAGATGAGGAAATTAGCTAAGAATTGTGAGTAAAGAGATAATTTTGTGTCTGACATCATGGCACCGGAGGACACTTAGCCTCTTGTTTACTAGTAATGAAGTAATAAATATTCATAATGTGAATGCTTTCGGTGACTCAGTTATTTCCTAGTAATGAGAGAAGTGATTTCTATCTACGTACAGCTTCAGTTTTACAGTTTCACAATTCAATTTCAGACGCTATGTTCACCGGTAGAGAAATACCAGCGTTCCCACCGAGATCTCCACAAGCATCAGAGACGGAGAACAGAATGAGGGAGGTTTATAAGGTAAAAGAATAAAATTAGTAGTGATAAAAAAATGTTTTTGTCTAAAATTCAATTTCATATTTATCTACACAAAAGGTTAGTTAATCAGTTAATCGTATAAGAAAAATGTAATATACTCTGCTAAAATTAAAATAGTTCACACATGATTGGTAACATACATTTTATTATAAGGTATTAGGTATTTCATAAGTATTGTATACATTGTCATGTTGTTTATTAATCAGTCAATAAACAATAATGTGTGCTACATCTACCATGTTAGATTGTAAATTACTGTATAAATATTTCACATTCTGGCATTTGTCCAATGAATAAATCAAATTCGTTGAATAGCTTTTATGATGCCATTAACGGACAAATTGAGTAGATAAATGAGGGCTTTTTCAACAAATTAGAGGCAATTTAACTGAAATACTCATCTCTAAATTTATTCATTAGTAAATAAAAAAATGCACACATTTTATACTGCAACATCAGTGTTGTATCACAGAATAATAATATTTACTTTGTTGTGTTATGATTTAAATAATATGGCATAAAGATTAAGCAAAATAATGTTATTGGTTGGGTTACAAAAAAAATTTACCTGAGAGGCACATCTTTTTACATAAATATTGCTTGTATGTACAGATGACAGCACTTCAGAATATTAAGTTTTAAGTTTATTTTAAGTTTTTTGTTGTAAAATCACCCCTGTTACAAGTACATAAGAGCCCCCAGTGTTAGCTTGACTTGGTACTGTAGCAAAAAAATGAATTGAATTTGAATTTATATTCATCAAAGTTGCTGTGCATCAACACCTCACCATATGTATTTTGGTTCTTCCACTACCTTCTGTATTTTTGTCCAAATATTATTTACGAATTTTTGCAAGAAAAAGTATATGTTGTGTTGTTTACTGTAAACGAAATTGACTTTTATATCCTTATCAGTGGGCTAAGTGTGAGTTTACATCAAACGTCCTCACTAGTGAGCACGTCATAAAAATTTATGAAAATTTTAGTTCTTGAACGTTTCCACTAGGGGCGCTGTACAATCCGTCATACATAATTTGATACATTTAAGCTAAGCGTCCACATGTCGGTATCGTACGCATCGAATCGTAGTATTATTTATATTTCCACTCATATAAGTGCGTCCACCTGTCCGCATCGTAAGCATCGCAAATCCGATACGATGTGTTTCGTACCATGCGTCCGTTGCGTACGATACCGACAAGTGGACGCTTAGCTTTAATGTATTTTTTTACGCGCTCACTAGTGAGGATGTTTGATGTAAATTCACACTAAGCCCTCCGTTACACAAAACTGACCCTTATTTCCTACAGGTTAGCGGCAAATTAAACGTGAACGGGGCAGAGTACCGCTCGCACGTGGACGATCTCCAGCACCTTGGCGAGCTGGGCAGCGGCACCTGCGGCCATGTCGTGAAGATGCTGCACAAACCTTCCGGCACTGTTATTGCTGTTAAAGTTAGTATAATTGTTGAATGTTGCATGTGGGTTTGGTGAAAAGATATTTGAAATATGAACTTTGACATTTGATTTTAAAAAAACATTTTAGAATTAGAATTGAAAATAGTAATAAATAAACAATTATTTATTACATAATACCACTTGCCCTAAGCGAGATTCTAACCCCTAGCTAGCTGGGTTCGTCGGTCTTGACATAAGAAATGTCGCTGTAAATAAACGAACCGAAATTTTTAATTTAAGGCCTACGCTAAAACTTTCGGGGCTGCATACGTGCGCCCGCCCAATAATGCACGGAAATGCACGCCTACGTATGCCTGCCGTCGCGCGGGTGGAAATTCGTCACACGCATGCGCTGCTCATATTATTTTACGATACATAGTTTGTATTATAGACCTGCGTGCGGGCACGGTGCGGGCGTCCGCGTTACTTTTAGCCTAAGCCGATAGTAGTTCTGCATTTGCCTTCCAACATCGTTGTAGAGCGTGTTCCACGATTAGAACCCTAAAATTTCAGCTAATCTTTTAACTAGTTTTAACTGCTATACTTTCTCTTCCACCAGCAAATGCGCCGCTCCGGCAACTCGGAAGAAACAAAGCGGATTTTAATGGACTTGGACGTGGTGGTGCGCTCCCACGGCTGCCCGTACATAGTGCGATGCCTCGGCTGCTTCGTGACGGATGCCGACGTGTGGATATGCATGGAGCTGATGGCTTCGTGCTTCGACAAGCTGCTGAAGCGGCTTGGCGCGCCCATCCCGGAAGCGATTCTGGGCAAGGTCACTGTGGCGGTGAGTGATCCTGATAAACTCCGGTCTTAGAGCACGTATAATTTCGTCCAATGACCCCAAGCTACCCATCCTTATCGCTCGCGCGTAATTATGTTGCTGTCGCGCTCGCACACTCACTGCGGCCGCCCGTCGCACAGTCGCGACGGCAATATAATTACGCGCGAGCGAGCAATAAGGATGGGTAGCTTGGGGTCATTGGACGAAATTCTACGTGCTCGGCGACCGGACTTTAGGCTTGGGACGTGGTGGTGTGCTCACTACATCGCGCTGCCTCGGCTGCTTCGTGACGGACGCCGACGTGTGGATATGCATGGAGCTGATGGCCTCGTGCTTCGACAAGCTGCTGAAGCGGCTTGGCGCGCCCATACCGGAGGCCATCCTGGGCAAGGTCACTGTGGCGGTGAGTGATGCTGATAAAGTCCGGTCGCCGAGCATGCAGAATTTCGTCCAATGACCCCAAGCTACCCATCCTTATCGCTCGCGCGTAATTATATTGCTGTCGCGACTGTGCGACGGGCGGCCGCAGTGAGTGTGCGAGCGCTCGCAGGTAGCTTGGGGTCATTGGACGAAATTCTACGTGCTCGGCGACCGGACTTTAGACTTGGGACGTGGTGGTGTGCTCACTACATCGCGCTGCCTCGGCTGCTTCGTGACGGACGCCGACGTGTGGATATGCATGGAGCTGATGGCGTCGTGCTTCGACAAGCTGCTGAAGCGGCTCGGCGCGCCCATACCGGAGGCCATCCTGGGCAAGGTCACTGTGGCGGTAAATGGCGACTGAGTACAAAGCGGGTCCTGATAAAGTCCGGTCGTCGAGCACGTAGAATTTCGTCCAATGACCCCAAGCCACCCATCCTTATCGCTCGCGTGTAATTATATTGCTGTCGCGCTCGCACACTGGGCGGCCGCCCGTCATCGCTGCTTCGGCAACTGAGCAAAAAAAAAGGATCCTACATTGATTATAGCCAAAATCGTAGAAAGGTAGAGGAAGAAGATTATAGGAAGGTGAAGGGATGCCCCTTCATCCTACAGTTTCAGTTTTAGTGAAACCTCTAACAAGTAACAGGAATAGTTATATTGACAGCCATTAGCCACGCTGCAAAGCAACCGTTATCAATTTTTATGGCAAACTCACTCGAGCTATCTTGCTGTTTGTATAGGCTTAAGACATTCACTACGGCTTATCAGAAAACACGCACTCCTTTACTTGTTTTGTTTACTGGCTACTTTATGTCCAATGACATACAATTTTATTATTATGTCGGGCCAAACTTGAGTGGCGCATTACTATGATGTGTGTCACATTAGAAGGGCGAGCATTGTTGTATAGTAATTGACGTGCAGCGCAGTGCTGTTCAGCCTTTCGCTGCTCAAATGTATCATTCTCTATAACAGGGTTTCCCAATTGTTTTTTGCCAAGGAACCCTAATTGATTATACTTTTCCTAGCGGAACCCCCGTACTACTCCGCCCGCACGCCCTGCCCCTCCCTTGTGCGTAAACAAGTCGGTGCGAGCGAACAACGTCGGTCACGAAACGTGGGATAATATTTTTTACGGAACCCTTGCGGCCTTTCCACGGAACCCCAGGGTTCCACGGACCACCATTCGGGAACCGCTGCTCTATAACATTATTTTTAATGCTGATCATTTTTGTTGTTCCCTAGACGGTGAAAGCCCTATCGTACCTCAAGGACGAGCACGGAGTGATCCACCGAGACGTGAAGCCAAGCAACATCCTACTAGACGAGTGCGGCAACGTGAAGCTGTGCGACTTCGGCATCAGCGGCCGCCTCGTGGACTCCAAAGCCAAGACAAGAAGCGCAGGCTGCGCGGCGTACATGGCGGTAAGTGACGTCACTATATAGGAGCGCCGCGACGTGAAGCCAAGCAACATCTTACTAGACGAGTGCGGTAACGTGAAGCTGTGCGACTTCGGCATCAGCGGCCGCCTCGTGGACTCCAAGGCCAAGACAAGGAGCGCGGGCTGCGCGGCGTACATGGCGGTAAGTGACGTCATTGTACAGCAGGAGCGAGCCAAGCAACATCTTACTAGACGAGTGCGGCAACGTGAAGCTGTGCGACTTCGGCATCAGCGGCCGCCTCGTGGACTCCAAAGCCAAGACAAGAAGCGCAGGCTGCGCGGCGTACATGGCGGTAAGTGACGTCACTATATAGGAGCGCCGCGACGTGAAGCCAAGCAACATCTTACTAGACGAGTGCGGTAACGTGAAGCTGTGCGACTTCGGCATCAGCGGCCGCCTCGTGGACTCCAAGGCCAAGACAAGGAGCGCGGGCTGCGCGGCGTATATGGCGGTAAGTGACGTCATTATATAGGAACGAGCCGCGATGTGAGTCAAGCAACATCTTACTAGACGAGTGCGGCAACGTGAAGCTGTGCGACTTCGGCATCAGCGGCCGCCTCGTGGACTCCAAGGCCAAGACGAGGAGCGCGGGCTGCGCGGCGTACATGGCGGTGAGTGACGTCACTACACAGGAGCCGACGCGATGTGAAGCCAAGCAATATCCTGCTAAAGCCCGGTCCGTGAGCTCGTAGAATTTTGTCCAATGACCCCTAGCTACCCATCCTTATCGCTCGCGCGTAATTATGTTGCTATCGCGCTCGCACACTTACTGCGGGTGCCAGTCGCACAGTCGCCTCGTGGACTCCAAGGCCAAGACTAGAAGCGCGGGCTGCGCGGCGTACATGGCGGTAAGTGACGTCACTACAGCAGGAGCCGAAGTGACGTGAGCCAAGCAACATCCTACTAGACGAGTGCGGCAACGTGAAGCTGTGCGACTTCGGCATCAGCGGCCGCCTCGTGGACTCCAAGGCCAAGACTAGAAGCGCAGGCTGCGCGGCGTACATGGCGGTAAGTGACGTCACTACAGCAGGAGCCGCTGTGACGTGAGCCAAGCGACATTCTGCTAGACGAGTGCGGCAACGTGAAGCTGTGCGACTTCGGCATCAGCGGCCGCCTCGTGGACTCCAAGGCCAAGACTAGAAGCGCAGGCTGCGCGGCATACATGGCGGTAAGTGACGTCACTACACAGGAGCCGACGAGACGTGAAGCCAAGCAATATCCTGCTAAAGCCCGGTCCGTGAGCTCGTAGAATTTTGTCCAATGACCCCTAGCTACCCATCATTATCCTCGCGCGTAATTATATTGCTGTCGCGACTGTGCGACTGGCACCCGCAGTGAGTGTGCGAGCGCGTTAGCATCATAATTACGTGCGAGCGATAAGGATGGGTTGCTAGGGGTCATTGGACAAAATTCTACGTGCTCACGGACCAGACTATAGATGAGTGCGGCAACGTGAAGCTGTGCGACTTCGGCATCAGCGGCCGCCTCGTGGACTCCAAGGCCAAGACAAGGAGCGCTGGCTGCGCGGCGTACATGGCGGTAAGTGACGTCACTACAGCAGGAGCCGACGCAACGTGAGCCGAGCGATATCTTACTATAGTCTGGTTGCGACTGTGCGACGGGCGGCCGCAGTGAGTGTGCGAGCGCGACAGCAACATAATTACGCGCGAGCGATAAGGATGGGTAGCTTGGGGTCATTGGACAAAATTCTACGTGCTCACGGACCAGGCTTTAGACGAGTGCGGCAACGTGAAGCTGTGCGACTTCGGCATCAGCGGCCGCCTCGTGGACTCCAAGGCCAAGACAAGGAGCGCCGGCTGCGCGGCGTACATGGCGGTAAGTGACGTCACTACAGGTCTGCGTTCAGAAACATTATGTCACGCGAGCAGCTCTACCGGACTCGATTTTCGTTATTTCTGAATGCGTTGGGTCAACCGTTTCGGGCAAATATTCGAAAAACTGTCATTAGGTACATTAATAACAAATATCAAACGTCAAACAAACCTAAAATCGTTTCTGCGCATGTCTGATAATTCTTCACGGCCTTCCGAGTTTCTGAACGGACTTTGGTAACGCTAGAGTGCATTCGAGTTCCAGTTTCCGGTCTGAACGTGTTTGGATAAATTTTACCTACCCGGGGACGTTTCTGAACGCACCCCAGCAGGAACGAACCGCGGCGTGAGACGCAATATCCTGCTGGGCGAGTGGGACAACGCCTGCAACGTGAAGTTGTGCTATAATTATAATCAATGTTGAGGCTTGAATTCCACCAAAGCCGAGATGAGATGTTTTCAGTAGGGCAGGGTTCCCGTTCCCCTTTATAGGGGGGCTCAGGCCATCTACAAAGTATTTAAAAACCTGCGACCGCTGAGACAATACATTCCAGACTGCTCGATACGACCAATAAATAATCTGGACTGGAGGATGGGGCGCGCGGATTTTTTATGGTCGAAAGAGGGCGCATCTCTAATAAATCAGAGAACCCCTGAGCCAAGGCGTATCCACCGAAGCTGTGTGGAGATGTGCAGTTATGCACGCCGCTCACACGTCTCCGCTGCGCGCCGTTGTCACCTTGCAAGGCTCGTCTCCGCTTTGGTAGAGTTCGGACCTTAGATATTAAATAAATGAAATAACAATAGCAATGAAGTCTCAAATGACTTATAATAGTCTTGATTGTGTTCAAGTATACCTAACAATCGTTCGTTCGTTCGTTCGTTTCAGCCGAAAGACGTCCACTGCTGGACAAAGGCCTCCCCCAAGGATTTCCACAAAGACCGGTCCTGCGCCGCTTGCATCCAGGTACCTCCCGCGACCTTCACCAGATCGTCGGTCCACCTAGTGGGAGGCCTGCCCACGCTACGTCTTCCAGCTCGTGGTCGCCACTCAAGAACTTTCCTGCCCCAGCGGCCATCAGCTCTTCGAGCTATGTGCCCCGCCCACTGCCACTTGATTTACCTAACCTAACAATAACCCAACTCTTTTCTTCAGCCGGAGCGCATAGACCCGCCGGACCCGGCGCGGCCGGACTACGACATCCGCGCCGACGTGTGGTCGCTCGGCATCTCGCTGGTGGAGCTGGCCACCGGCGTGTTCCCCTACCGCGACTGCCAGAACGACTTCGAGGTGCTCACGAGGGTACGTGCCCCACTGTTACATTGCAGCCCAGCGCTAGACCCGCCGGACCCGGCGCGGCCGGACTACGACATCCGCGCCGACGTGTGGTCGCTCGGCATCTCGCTGGTGGAGCTGGCCACCGGCGTGTTCCCCTACCGCGACTGCCAGAACGACTTCGAGGTGCTCACGAGGGTACCTGATCATTTTACTTTTAAAGTTGCAAGGAAGGAGATTAAAGCCTTCCACAGATCAAACGCGGGTCAGAAGCACTGTGGGTCAGTTGCAGCGCGGCTGAGGCACACTGAAAGCAGCGCAGTTTCAAAGCAGTTGCAACGCGGGCGGTTGTCAAAAATTTAAATATTCGAAAACCGCTTTCAACGCGCTGCTACCGCCCTGCGTCCGGTGTGTCATGCTAATATGACCGCCATAGTAATACAACAGCGCGGGCCCGCGTTCGCGCCGCTTCTGTGGCGGCGCGGTTGGAGCGCGGGCCCGCGTTCAAATTTGGTGTGACACACTTCAAAGAGTTTCTTGTATTACAACTTGCGCGGCCCGCATTCAAACTGCGCAGCTACTGTGCTGCTACTGCCCCGCGTTTGGTCTGTGGAAGCCTTAACAACCACAAAAAGAGCCATAAAGGCTCCGCTTAAAGACCACAGTTTTTTTTATATGATTTTCAGTCACACACACAAAGTTGTTTTACATGATTTTCAGTCACTCGTAATCGCAAAAGTTGTCACAACATGTGACCGGCAGCGGCCGCTCGTCGACCACCGACCGCTAGTGATAGCCACCAATCACTCTGTAGCCACCGAGCACCTTTCGTTTACCAAAAGGCTAGGTCTAGGGTACCATAGCCACCGGTGGCTATTGTATAATGTCCATTTTCGCACGCTATAGTCCATTTTCATGGAGTCTTTGACATGACTCAAATTAACATAATTAAAATAACAATTTTGTTTCTCATTACAGGTAATAGCAGACGATCCACCACAGTTACCAGAAGATTGTAATTTCTCCCCAGAATTTAAGTCATTTGTATCACAGTGGTAAGTTTCTTTGCAGTTTCATACAAACATTTTTATGCCAAATCTAAAACAAAACATTGTTTCAGCCTAACAAAAAACTACCGGCATCGGCCGAAATACGCCAAACTCCTCGAACACCCTTTTGTAGTGAACTCCGCGCGAAGTAACGTGTCAGTGGGGGCCTGGTATGCGTCGTTACCAATTCCAAGTCACGGCACGCCCCTAAAGACTGCAGTGCCACAAAGAAGCGTGCCGAGTCCGCATATAGCGTCGGAATTGGGAACAGTGACGACTTTAGCTACGCACAACGTGTCAAGCAATGGTTATGACGCGCCAGCGACACCAGTGAGGAACTTTGTGACTAGCGCCACGCACTGGACGCCGGATCAAGCCACGCCCACGCCTAGTAGGTGAGTTATAAGCCACTCCCAGCACGTATTATAAGCCACGCCTACTCAGTGAGTTATAGGCCACGCCTACTCATGCATTGTTAGAGGAACGATTGACGCGATATTGCCTAGTTTTGGACTCGTGACATATTATATCAATTTTGGACGACAAGTGTATTATTAATTTAACGATATTATCATATGTCATTGGAATTGGTCATTGGTTAATATGACAGTTCAGACATACATATAATCAATATGAAATTCGACTTCCGTATACATAATATCGTTTGTGTCATGCTGTCTTATTACGCGAGTTGCGATTCGCTAGGTTCTAGATTATGTGGGATAACTTCCGAGCTCGCATCAGTAAAATAGGCTGACTAAACGAAGCTGTATTATTATTGTCCTTAACGATTTTTGACGCTTTTTAAAAACTCACCCGAAGATCACGTAAACGGTGTAGATACGGTGCATAGTGGAGCGACCTTGTTTATGAAAAATAAATGGTTTTTTACATTATTATTATTATCCGTAGGCCGTGGTGGGCGACGGCGGGCAACTCCAACGCGGGTGGCAGCAGTTCGCAGCCCGCCAGCCTCGAGGTAGACTTCTCCAACCACTCGCCATACCCCAGGAGAAGGTAACTGCTCATAATGTCTCAAAATATGCACTACTTTACGCCTATGTTCTGCAGTAGACGTGCTATGGCTGAAATTATAATATAATAGTGCGTCCAGACTGGGCGAACGGGCTCGCGCGGCAAACTCGACATCCTGCTCACTCAAGAGCAGGGTGAGCAGGATGACCAGCGTGCCGCGCGAGCCCGTTCGCCCAGTCTGGACGACCATAATAGTTTACAGTAGCAAAGCAAACAATATTTGATAGTTAGCTGCAGATGGTGGTTAAAAATGTGTACTTTATCTTTGCATTTATCTTACATTGGATTCCGCACCCAAAGAATATCCACGGGACGATATTTTTCGGCAGTCGCATAGCAAAGTGATCGAGTAACGGTCTTCTATACCAGTAGGCCTGAGATGCGCGCCGTGATAACTTTTATCGACGTCAAAATGTATGGGCAAAATCGATAAAATGGCGTGATAACCGCTTATCGCGGCGCGTATCTTAGGCCTACAGGGATTTATCTATGTCATGTCCTCATATTCCCACCCATATAATACATAAACTTTTATTAGCTATAACTGAATTATTTTGTATCGCAGAACAATCGAAGCGTGCGCATCCCCCCCACCGCCCGTTCGCCGCGTGTCGGCCGATAGTCGCTGGCGTGCGTCTCCTCAGGTGAGTTACGTCATCAACACGACACAAAGCTAAAAATTATTCACAGATATTACAGTCAAATATATGATCAGCATCCTCTTTATTTGCTACTAAAGCCCGGTCTGTGAGCACGTAGAATTTTTTCCAATGACCCCAAGCTACCCATCCTTATCGCTCGCGCGTAACTACACTCAGCGGCACGGAATTTGGCCCAAGCCTAAACACCCAGATATGAGGCCAAATAGGTGTTGTATACCTAAGTTTCATGTAACATGTTAACAGAACATTTGTTTTTGTTAATTTATGAGGCTAGATTAATAAAAAAATGCATCTGTTTAACTTTTTTGGCTCTAGAAACGCATTTCGTTGTTGGAGCGTAAAGAATACGGGTAAGTTTAAATTCGATATTAAATGTTGTAAGGGTTTCGCGTTTAGTTTTTTGTTTGTATATTAATCTTGGGGTTATTCTAGTTTCCATAATTTGAGAATAATGCCCATTACTCCAGGTTAAGTTGCTCAAATAGTGTTGCTTAGAAGTCAAGGGCGTATGCAGCGGGAGATGGTTGAAACTTTCAATTTATGGCGTACAAACTTAAGATACACGTTAAAAGGGCATGACCAGACCGCTTTTTACACAAGAAGACCAAGAAGTGGGGAATTGAGGTGTATGTCAGCGCGCGATGACCCGATTGTCGTGCTTGCAATATCAAGAAATCGGGTTTTCACTACGTTTGAGATACGCCAGCGTTTACAAACACCAAGCCCAGTGAATGTCAGTGAGCACACAATAAGAAGAAGGATGGAGGAAGGCAACCTGCATACTCGAAGACCAGCTCGAGGACCAGAACTTCTCCGATTCCTTCGCGAAGTCCGACTTTGGTTTCCTAGAGATCAAAAAAATTGGACGCAAGGCTAATGGAGTCAATTCTTTATGAAAACTGTCTGTTTGCGTAGTAACTCTTCTCCGCACCTTCTCTATACACTTCCACGGCCGTCTGGAGCTCTTAAGGTGACTCTGCAATTATCGATCCATAGAACTTTACTCCATTAGCCTTGCGTCCAGTTTGCATGTTCTCTAGAAAACGTAAAACGCACTTCGCGAAAGTATCGGAGAAGTTCTGGTCCTCGAGCTGGTCTTCGAGTATGCAGGTTATGATCCTTCATCTTTCTTCTTATTGTGTGCTCACTGACATTCACTGGGCTTGCTGTTTGTAAACGCTGGCGTATCTCAAACGTAGTGATAACTCGATTTCTTGATATTGCAAGCACGACAATCGGGTCATCGCGCGCTGACATACACCTTAATTCCCCACTTCTTGGTCTTCTTGTGTAAAAGGCGGTCTGGTCATGCCTTTTTAACGTGTATCTTAAGTTTGTACGCCATAAATTGAAAGTTTCAACCATCTCCCGCTGCATACGCTCTTGACTTCAAGCAACACTATTTGAGCAACTTGAGCTGGAGTAATGGGCATTATTCTCAAATTATGGAAATGAAAATAACCATAAGATTAATTTAAAACCAAAAAACAAAACGCCAAACCCTTACAACATTTCATATCGAATTTAAACTTACCCGTACTCTTTACGCTCCAACAACGAAATGCGTTTCTAGAGTCAAAAAAGTTAAACAGATGCATTTTTTTTATTAATCTAGCCTCAAAAATTAACAAAAACAAATGTTCTGTTAACATGTCACACGAAACTTAGGTATACAACACCTATTTGGCCTCATATCTGATTGTTTAGGCTTGGGCCAAATTCCGTGCCGCTGAGTGTATGTTGCTATCGCGCTTGCACACTCACTGCGGGTGCCAGTCGCAACAGCAATATAATTACGCGCGAGCGATAAGGATGGGTAGCTAGGGGTCATTGGACAAAATTCTACGTACTCACAGACCAGACTATACAAGACACTATGGCTAAGTTGCACCACCTTTTTTTTTCGTCGGGAAATGCTTTGCGCATACGCACTGGTCTATGGGAACGACCAGTGGGTTATGTGGGACTCTCCCCGCCTTTTTTGACGTTTGTTAAAGTTAGAATAAGACGGTGCAACCCAGCCTAACTTTCGCGAGTACAGGCAATCTAGGTAACTTGGCCCATCATCAGTATAACATTTACCCAAAGTTAATTGTAAATGTAGGTTTTCTTTCACATTTCAGAGTTCAGGCAACACTAGTCCGATAGTTCTACAGAGGTTCTATCACCAAAGCCAACAGAGGAGGTCGAGGGTAGACCTACACGCCACACCCAGGCATAGGAGGTTAGTGGATTAACATCTAGTAAATCTAGTTCCAATAAAATAAAAATAAAATAACCGACATAGCTCGCAGAATTGCTAAAATCAAGTGGCAGTGGGCGGGGCACATAGCTCGTAGAGACGATGGCCGTTGGGGCAGGAAAGTTCTCGAGTGGCGACCACGGGCTGGAAGACGTAGCGTGGGCAGGCCTCCTACTAGGTGAACCGACGATCTGGTAAAGGTCGCGGGAAGAGCCTGGATGCGGGCAGCGAAGGACCGTTCATTATGGAAAACCTTTGTCCAGCAGTGGACGTCATTTGGCTGAAACGAACGAACGAAATCTAGTTATGAAGATCAATATTTGAATTGCCTTTAGAGAATAAAATGAGGTTATCGGACAAAATAGTCAAGCATTTATATCCGGAGAAGTGTACGCATGGTATATTATTTTTATTTTTGGTTATCTACTTAGTTAGCAATATTATGTAGGCCATAAGATAAATTCTTATTAAACTTAAAACTCATTCTCATTGATCTAAAAATGTCGATCGGCCCAATAGGCCGTGTTTCCAAACTTGATTTTCTTCTGGTAAAAAAGGGTCGTACTTCTGAATGACTCGATGATGATGATAATGACGATGACGATGTGTTATTGCAGTTTAAGCAGGGACCACAGCACGGGCCGCTCGCCCGAGCCGCCGCCGCGGACCAGCCGGCAGCACCACATGTTAGGCCACGAAGGTATGAATGAAAAGTTGAAGATCTTTTTATTGAACTTGATATTTTGATGATGCCGTTTTAGTTGTATCCTTTTATTGTTTCCAATATAGCCAACCACACCTAATTTTATTAATCCATCGTCCTGTATGTAAAATTTTGAATCTAAACAAGGAATTTATGCAAACAACAATATTGTTTAATTTGCGGGTACTCACATACGCTCACACACTTGTATAATTTGCTTGTTGTTGTAAATTTGTATTGTGTAAGTAAATTACCCAAAGGCAGTCGCCAATTCAGTCCACCCGCATAAAAATTGCTTGGCAAAATGTTACTTGGTTTCTCGCGATACAGGTGCATACCTAGTGCGAGAACCGCTACCAACACTTCTTCACAATCCACCATAGCATGTATAATAATTAGCTTAAGACTGTCATTCCGTTTTTTTGTAAATCTGTCTTGCTTAAATAAAGATTTTATTATTATTATTATCATTGTAAATGGTCAATATTTTCAGCGAACGGAAGCATGGAGCTGGAGCCCCCGGCGCTCCACGAGAGGTTGCACCCCGCCTCGCCCCTACTGCTCAGTAATGATAAGTAAGTCTAGCATATTTACTAAGTCCCTGGCAATGGAAAAAGGTTAATTCGGTTCATAACATAAAATATGTAGGGTAAACCGTATAGCTATTGCCCACTTAAAGATTTCAAACACATTGAGATGAAAAATTAAAGAAAGTATTTTAATTATCGACCATTTATGACTTTTTTCTTATAACTCAATAAACTGTTAAACAGAATATTAACAGTTTTTAGTTAAAACTTACATAACTTAGAAAATATTGAAATAAATTTAAAATCCTCCAAAAAGTACAGTCATTGCCCATTACTTACACTAATTGCCCACATCAAAGCACAGTAATTGCCCAGTACCTATCTTAAAACAAAATAATCAATTTTAAAATGACAAAATAGGCTTTAAATAAACAAAACAAAACAAAACATTAAACTTAAATTCTAGTAATACAGTCTCCAAAATTTCAAAATAAATTGCGTTTGGCTTTATTAACATATTATCAAATATTTCTTGAGCTGATGTTGATGAGGCAGAATCGGTAGAGACAGAATCATCTACTTCAAAACATAGATGACGCAAAAATTTGAATTTTATATGTAGAAGATAGCAGGAAGACGCTGGGTGCAGGCCACTATCAACTGGGCGATGTGGAAATCATTAGAGGAGGCCTTTGTTCAGCAGTGGACGTCCAGTAGCTAAAATGATGATGACGATGTTTCCTTACAGTATCCAATTCAATAGGCAGAAACTAAACGTAAACGAAGTGTCGCCTCTGTAATGGTATCATTATCTATAACTCATAATATTTCGTGCGCTGTTGGATGACAGTTTTAAACTAGAGATGGGTAATTTTTTTATCGAATTAGAAAATACCAGTTAACGATTCTCAAGGCGATTATCAATTACATTAGATTTTAATCGGGAAGAAAAATAATTAATGGCTTAAGCATCAGTATGAAGCCCATACTTACGCACTTGTAGCACAAGTAACACGATTAGCCTCAGTCCCCTCAGTTGTGAATTCGGAATCGCCAGTTGTAAATGACATTGGGAACTTTTTGCCCCACTTTTCGAAAAGTAGCGGACACAAACGAAACCTATCACAGATGATACATACTAATATCCAATGAATTTCCGTGCATTCTTTTTTCTCTCTTATATGGGAATATTGACAAAATGAAGTTTTAATATTTTATTTTATTTTACATTTAGGTAACATTTTTGACGACCTCCGTGGCGGAGAGGCGCACACACCGGTTTTCAAGGTGTGCCGGGCCAATCCTGAGGTCCCGGGTTCGATTCCCTACCGGGATAATATAGAAAACGATCTTTTCACATTGTCTCTGGTTTGGGTGTGTTGTGGTTCGTCGTTCCCGATTTCCATAACACAAATGCCTTAGCTACTTATTTTGGGTTGGAGTAATATATGAGATGTTGTCTAATATTAATTTAAGTATTTATAATATTTTATTTATTTATATTAATTTATTTATATATTTTATTTCATATTCATATCATTAATAATTATTTCAGAAAATACCATAAAATATCTATTACGAGCTTAAAACGAATGAAATTTTCCATTCAGCGCCATCTAGCAAACGTTTCCAATACTAAGAGGTAAGCAGATTTCGTATTTGACCGTATTACGACTTGAATAATATGCTTTAGTTTCAAGTGTTTATTCTAGATGGCATTAACTTACACTTCCAAAAAAATTTTCTTGTCTGGTCTATCTCTATCAGGGTTGGGGTTTAAATGAACTACTTATTTAGTGTTATTGTGTATTACTTTACTATAAAAATACAGGTCAGCAGGATTAATTCAATTTCACTCATCTGTTTTGGCTTCAAAAGGCTGGTAGTCGTCCTGGAAAAAGTTTAATTAAAATATTAGGAATTTTATTGTGATAGTGCTTTAAAAATTTAATGAAAATTCAAGCGGATCAACTAAAATCCTAGTGGTTTGATTGAGTTCTGTTCACGTCAATAAAAACGTCAAATATGTTCCACAAGCCTAAAGAGGATTTAAGACACTATTTAAATCAAATATGTAATTGCTCAATAATGAATAATAAATAAATAAATAAAAATCAGTGCGTAACTTGAAGCCAAAATTAAACACATCCCAGCAGTGGCTTATTTTTTGGGAAAATTATTGAGCTTTCAATCTAGAGCTGAAGTCAAATGGATATCGAAAAGCACATTTGAATAACTCTGTAGGATTTTCCTTTCTTATCTTTCGTTCGTTTCAGCCAAATTACGTCCACTGCTGGACAAAGCCCTCCCCCAAGGCTTTTTATAACGACCAGTCCTGCGCTGGCCGTGTCCAGGTTTTTCCAGCGACCCTCACCAGGTGGTCGGTCCACCTAGTAGGAGGCCTGCCCACGCTACGTCTTCCGGCCCGTGGTTAACACTCGAGAACTTTTCTGCCCCAACGGCGATCGTCTCTACGAGCTATGAGTATGTCCTTTCTTATATTTCTATGGATTTGGAAACATTATTTTCGAAGATAACTTACCTGATGGTAAAACCACCAGCTCCGTATATCTTTGCTTACATTCACTGGAATTAGGTCAGAGTATTCTGGTGCTTCTTGGTTTATTTTTATGTGATTAAACGAATTCTGGAATGAAAATGAAAGTTTTGCATAAAAATCTACGATATCAGACTTCCTGGCTTGGAAATAAATTAGTTAAATTGGGCTGTAGTATTATCTAGGATCTAGGTAGATGTGACGAACTCAATCAAATCTATAATATTCCCTGCTTCCAAACTACCTGCCAATCTACTATGTGACTTAATCTATCGTTATTTATTAGTATCGCCGCGTAGCTTCTTGTCGCTGATGTAGTTCAGCGCGGTATCAAGGAGTAGTTTCGTGTCGAGTTGTTTTGCGATGACACCACAGAATCCCAACTAATATTACACTGCACAACAGCATTTTTGTTGCATGGAATGTTTGTTATGGATCTAGCTGCATTTTCTACCCTGATTCTAAATCTGTACTCAGATTTTCGCTATCAGCTCTACTTTTTGAGATGTGAAGGGTAGCTATTTTTATCAAAAAAACATGGTTTCCTGTCATATAACAATTTATTTAACTATCTAATTAGAACAAAACTTTCTTTTATGTGACTTTTTTGAATGAGTTCGAGTGTTACTACTATTCTGGATAATCCAACAGTATTCAGCCATCATACTTTCACTCCAATAGCCCTGGTAGTGCTCCTCTATGGCGCAAATATCCTGATGAAAGCGTTCTCACTGCTTCTTGCTTAAATCTCCAAGATTTTCAGAAATTCGATCAAGGTGGCTATGAAGGAAATACATCTTAATGCTCATGTTGTATTCAAGTTGCTGAAAGTATAGTACTAACTGATTGACGTGGGCAGGAAAATTGACGGACTACTTATTTCCCAAAAAGTTTTTTACGAACCAAAAAAACTCATTCCAGGCATTTTTTTCAGCGTTTGTCAGTAAAATTTACATCGTTTATTAATTTTCTAAGTGGTGGTCCATCGAAAATTTCAGTTTTTAACTTCTCAGCACTCAATTTTTGAAACGATCCATTCGTTGAACATTTTTGTGCGGACGTACTGTAGTACAGTACCTGAGATGTACTTGGTTTGGGTTTTAGTGTATCAGTTAAACGCAGGACAGGTCTAGTAACTGACGGCACATTAAAATAAACCCACTTAGAATGATTTTAGCGGTTAATTCCTGTTATGTTTACAACGCAGAAATAACAGTCGTCTTGATGGTTTGACGGTTCACGCCAAATCATAGGACTAATAAGGTTCAAGGGATCCCTCTTGTTATTTTTCCATAATCGTAAAGACTCCACACACGTTTTGCACACTATATTCGGTATCCAGGGCTTGTTATTTGTTGCCAACAGCCGTTGAAAGTACTCCAAATAGGCATTTTTCACGAAGTCTGACACATTTAAACGGATTTTTTTTAATGTATATCTGCCACAAATGTGACAAATCTATTTGGATTGTTTACACAGGTCCTTCTAGACGAAGTCATTGCAAAAAAAGAAACAGAAACTAGTAAAACGTTGACGATAGCGATAACAGCAGTCAAATGGAGAGTACATTTTAAGAGGGTACATGTATCTCCTAAACTAGAGCTGCTAGAAAAAATCTGAATGTAGATTTAAAATAAGCGAGCCTAAATTAGTAAACAACAAGTGAAAAATCTCATGCAACAAAAAAAAAGTTCGATTTTGTTGTGCAGTGTTATAAATGCGAAAGTAACTCTGTCTGTCTGTCTGTCTGTCTGTCTGTCTGTCTGTTACGCTTTCCCGCTTAAACCTCGCAACCGATTTTGATGAAATTTGGCATAGAGATAGTTTGAGTCCCGGGAAAGAACATAGGATAGTTTTTATCCCGGTTTTTGAAACAGGGACGCGCGCGATAAAGTTTTTCGTGTGACAGACAAAATTACACGCGGGCGAAGCCGCGGGCGGAAAGCTAGTAAATAATAAGTGATGATATTTCGTGTGATGATTTCGTGATGAATAGATGATTTTTTTATAATAAACTTATTCATGCATAAACTGAATCAATTTTGAGGAAACGCTTATAGCACATAAGCTACATTCTACTGAGATCAACGCAGATGAAGTTTTATCCACAGCGCTCTTGGCCTGCATTTCACTTAATAGAAAGTGAAGATCAGGCCGAAGCTGGAAGCGAGCTTCACCCGGAATCCTCATCATGTTCAATCAAGTTGCTTGAGAAAAAATATTTAAACAAACCTGAGAGTCCCAAAACCATTTCTTTTTAGAATTATTATCATTGTCGGTGTGTTCTGGTTCTATGTAGTCATTGTTTTCTTCATATTCTTGTCCATATTCATCACTCCAGCTTACATCATCGTCGTCCTCAGCATCACCATCATTATATTCATTATCATCATCATCATCTTGTCGTAAATATGGTATATGACGTTCTCCAGAAATTCTTTTAGGAGAAACATTTCCCAAGTTTTTGTAAGCAAACTGTAATGTTTTT